TGAGGATAACGAACAATTGAATGCATCCCTATGAAAAGTTTGACTTTGACTACTCGGGGCTGAAATTAAAGTTCTTCGGGACCTGATTTTCTGAGGACGATTCTTCCAGACGGTAAAGCATATAAGAAAGCCGAAGTCTCGTAGTCTTCAAAAATGTCTTCGCTCCTCCGCAACAAGTTCCTTGAAGGAAGTTATTATTGCTAAAAGCTCAAAAACTTGCATGTGCTGCTCAAAAACCTATAAGAACAAGATGTTCGAACGTGTGATTTTCTCGGAAAATAGATTTTGAAAAACGATGTGGTGCTTTTTAGAAAGAACAAATCCTGCACTTTCACCCCATGAAAAAAGTGCATCACAGAAAAGAAAATGAAGTGAGTTATGGTTGCTGAAAGCCTAAAAACTCGCTTTTGCACGAAAAATGTTCGAACGGGACAATTTTTTGAAAAAGAGGACAATCACCAAACTTATGATGCTGTTTTGTTAGAAAAATATTTGAAGCTTCTGAAACGTTTTACAGATTTCCAAAATGTCGCATACGAAAGAATTTATGATCCTTCTAACTTGAAGGTGCGCCTTCTTAGAATTTTGTGTTTTCCATTTCTACAGAAGTACTTTCCGGAGAGTTAGGCAATCCTTGTAGTTTTCTGAAAGCGCACCTCAGGCACAGTCAAAATCTACCTCAACAAGTCAAAAAAATACGTCCCAAGAAAGTTATTACCCTCTAAAATTTTTTCTTCGCCGCGCCCGTTCTTCCAGCGCCCGGGTGATACCTGCCGCGCTCCAAGGCTGACGCAGCAATGCAGACGCGATTCATGTCTAGCACTCTTATTAACAAAAACAGGGGGTCGCAAAAATCCCGAAAATGTTCGAACGTGACGGTTGACCCTGGTCAGAGGTGTAGCCTTACTGGAGCACCTGCGATGGTCAATGCTCGATTTCGAAAAAAGTCCGGACATGAGCATGTTTGTCGTTGGATCAAACCATTTCTCTTCGCAACGATGAGAGACAGTGCTAATGGTTTCATTCCGTTTGCACGACCAATTAGGAGAACAACAGTCGTTCCTTTCCGTTGGCAAACGGTATTGACGAAGCTCAGGCGTTAGTATTCAGCAACTTTACCTTTTTCTTTTTGCTGGATGTCATAAAAAGTATGCCAAGAGTGACGTAGTAGAAATGGTTAATTCAGGAAATACGTGAGAGGTACCAGGTTCGAAGAAAGCGTTCGAGCTGATGGTAAGATAGTCGCCGTGACAGGAGCGAACTCCGGTATCGGTGAGTTTCTCAAGCCATTGCAGAGCTGTTCTCACTGTTGTTCAAATGCAAGTGAAGAGGAAGGGTGGCTGTTGAGACCATAAAAATCCAGACTTTCAAGACACAGTTCAAGGTCATAAATGTTGTCTTTTCACTTGAACCCTACAGGCCTGCAGAAACCAGCGAACACAAATAGTATGTTCATTCGCTAATACCAAAAATGATGCATGAATGAAACGCTAGTTCTTATCCAAGCTAATTTTTGCATATATCCGAATAGCCCACTTACCACTCGCACACAGCGGTGATCACACCCCCAGGAGCTCGATCCCTTCCTGTGAAGTAACTTCCCGAAAAATTGGAGAAGCGGCTCCACCATCATACCCAGTTTGACAGAATGACTGATTTGGCTCAGACAGTCGTGGCTGCATGGTCATGAAGAGAATTATTAAGATGGTGTCACAATAAAAGCGAGTTGCGTTGGCTCGATGACCCCATACGGTCAATTCCCAGTTGAGACTCTCTCGTCAAAGCGGGTGATCTATGGGTGACCACATCGGCGGCGACCAAAAATGCGTGAAGAGAAAGCAAGAAAAAAATTGTTCGGCTGAAAGAGGAGCCCAAATAAGCAGTAAGTCGTATAAGGGTGTGCTTTCGAAAGTCAATAAGCAAAATTCAAGTACGGTACTGAAGAGTAGAGTAGTTCGAAACGGTAGGTCGAAGGTCGAAGAAGGGGAAACTGGCCTGGGAGGACAGGCACTCAATTTTAGCTTGCGAACGGACACGCGATTCGCAGCGAAGGATACGCTCCAACGATCTAGCATGACCCTCCTCGTGATGCTCTCGGCGCGGTACGCCTTCCTCTTGCTGTCTGACCCTCTGGCCGTTAGAGCGTTAGCGTTAAAGGGAGCAGCACTGATGACAGTGAATGAATCCATGCAAAAGTCAAGGGACAACGAAGAGGTCCTATTTCTGCTCCGCGCCATTTCTCATGGTTTCATCATCCCTGCACCATAGATCACTTCTATTCTTATTTCTATTAAGCTACTTTCTGTCATAAATTTCGCCTTTAATAAGCTTACTTTTTTTACTATTTGATATAATAAACCTGCTAAGCACATTCAAACATTATCATATGACTTGACCTTCGACCCAATGGACTGCTCATTTTTTGACTGGTGATTTCTGTTTTAGGTCAAGCCATCACGGCTGAGCTTAATCGACGAGGTGCGACCGTTTATATGCTAATCCGTGACAAACAGCGGGGGATGGAATCCATAAACAGGCTTGAGAAGGTATTAAAATCCTTTCCTTGTGACTGGTTTCGCCATACGTTTGCTAATCTTTGTATCGATAGGAAGGATGCGACCCGAAGAGGCTAATTCTTCGGCATATGGATTTGGCTCTTCTCAGCTCAGTGAGGAGTTTTGCAGAAGAGTTCAGCAAAGGTTGTTCCCTGTTTGAAGTACCAGAAGTGTTATGAGGATCAATCTATTTTTAGAGGTTCCTCATCTCGACATCCTCATTTGTAACGCTGGAGTTCTGCGGCTCCCTAAGTTCGCAAAAACCGTTGATGGATTCGAGAAAACATGGCAGTGCAATTACTTAGGTGCGCAAAATTATCCTATTCAAATTTTAAGTAAGAACATTAATCAACGAATATAACGCCGGACTGAACTATCTAATATATTTGTTTCTCTAATGGTACGAATGGAAAAAGATGTTGCTCCATCGTCGTGCAGATTGTTGAGAATAATGCATGCCCAGTTTCGATCCGTTCCCAAAAACCTAAAATCCAGCTGATCCCAAAAACCTAAAATGCTTCTGAAATATCAAGTCTCGCTTGGCGCCAGTGTCAGGTTATGACGACAAGTAATGAGTGATGTGCATAGTCTCCCTAGATACCGCTGATACCTAGCATCCGTTGAGTAAGTTGGAAGGAGGAGTTCCTGTTGCTTGCCTTAATCTTATTTTTTATACTTGAATGCCTGCTGTGATTTTGTGTGGGATTTATGTCTCCTTCATTTCTCTGGGTCTTTCCTACACCGTTGCAGAGGCTGCTGCATTTATTAGAATTCGCAATCATCAGCAAAACCTAACTTCGAATAGAATCTCCTTTGATGGCATCCCATCATCTCTTTTTGAAGTTTTTCGTGATCACATACGCTGGACTTTCAAGCCAGTCTCACAAAAATGTTGGGTCTTGAACGGAACTATCGCTCCAGGCGGGATTCGAACCCGCGCCTCTTGCATACTGGACAAGTGCGCTACGGGGCCTCGTTTCACCCTAACTCGCTTTCCACAGTATATTTACCAATCACATGTATGAGGTGATGAGCCGGTTGGCTAATATCGGCACTAAACCAAAGATTGAAAGCTTTAGCAGTCACATGTTAATTTCGACTTGTTCTCTTTTATTTTTGCTTCGCACTGATCTTTGAAGCTAGTTTTTCATCGGGTGATCATTTGGCATGTGCTCACGCTGGGAGGTGGCCGATTCAGATGAAGTACAATTGAGGTATGGATCTTGATTGCGGGCTAGAACTAGAGGAGATCATTGTGGGCGTGATAGTACAAAGAGGAAAGGCTGAGAGATGATTCTTAGTGTTCTTGAAGCTAGACGCTGCTTTTTCATCAAGCTGGGCCGGCCGTCTTACACCCATCGCACATATTTTTTACCAAGCAGATTAGCTGTTTTGGGATGTGTCGTTTCTGTATCGCTAAGTCGAGCAAGATGAAGGTCCTCTTCTGACCGAGCAAGAATGGATCGGCCCCGAACCACTCCTGCGCTCTACTCACTACTGCGCTGTCCTTCGTTTTCCATTGTGGAAGAGAGTAACACCCCGAACGGCCGTATCTTCTAACTTTTCTGTGCAATGCACTATCAGTCGAAGCATGTTGTTGGTTGGCATGATGGAGGTCATCGTCAGTTTTCAATAAATGAAATGATTGCTGCTCGTCAATTGCCGGAGGCCAACCGGATGAAAAAAAAATTATTTTGCAAGTTCTAGACGGATTTCTTTGCTTTTATCGCCACTGGCGCATCATTCCCCACCCCCACTTCAGTAAATTCGATCCAGTCTTATTATTTTCCCTCGCTGTGACATGTGTTTACGAGATTGCTTTCAAAAACATTCATATCATCATTGAAGAAGGAAAAGGCAATAAGTTATTAGGCCATAAGTTTTTTTTAAAACTTCCAACTTCTTCGTTCCAAAACTTTGACAATTTCTCACCTAAAGGCATGAGTCGGGATAGAATTGATGCGCTATTTTGTTTGAAATTAGACAAGGATTGCAACGAGGAACACTATCGAGGAGAAAAGCAAAATGCACCATGGAAAACACTAAATTTTCCCTCAGGCCGGTCGTGGTATGACGGAGAGACACAGCGTGGCGAGGAGAGGGAAGACGCGAGGTAGTACGTCGTACACGAGAGGACGCAAGCACCACGCATGCCGCGATTGAAGGATGGCAGCACGGCTGCACACAAGGCAAGGCCTTGGCGCCATTGCCTCGCACATTTGGGTCGCGACAGTGTCGTGCCTCCTGCCCTTAGAAACCACTCTTGCTTTAGAAGATGTGGCTCTTGGGACCTATTCCAAACTTGCGGCTTTAATGTATATCTTGGTAGGTATTAAGAAAACACACTTCCAAATTGGCCTTACTCACGTGTGGTGAAGTAATTGACTGAGGACGCACTGCAAAATATTTCAACTATGCAATCCTTTTCTAGCAAGGGAAAGTGTGGAACGGATCTCGTATGGAAGCCTCGCACAGAGCGGTGCCCTATTTTCCTAGTGATTTGCTCAACACGATGCATTGTTTGAGCAGATTACTTCAGGTTTGGAAAAGAGTCGGCTGAATTTCGTCTACGCATTACTCAAGCTCGGATTCTATGGGTAATCAGACTCAAAACGGAATTAACGAATTAAAATAGCCGAAAACAGGGTAGAAGTCGTCGTTGATGGGATGAAAGGAAAATCAAGCAAAACACCCTAAAACCCAAGAAATGGGATCGCTTTTGCCGGTTAATTTATGCGTTAGGCGTGTGCATCGGTGCTATCCTTATCAATGCTTATGCTCTCTCTATCTCTTTCTCCCTCTCTCTCTCCGAGAACGGTGGAGTCAAATGGCGACGGAGTGGGCGAGCAACGGTGCCAGCGGCGTGTATGTGGTCCTGCTAGGTCGCCGAGGACAGACCCTTCGCTGCGAACCCGCATCTCCCTGCACCCTTATGGGGACCTCCTGAAATCATTCAATGCACAGAGTAGATAGCTTGTGAATTTGTGCGAAATTTGATGTGATCTACTGTTCTAGGTCATTTCCTGCTCACCCAATTGCTGTTGCCCTTGATTTCTAAGTCGTGCGATGGTCGAGTCATCAATATCTCATCTATTATGTACGAATACGCTGATAGCGTTAGGTGAGTTGAGTTGAATTTCCGATCGAGATATAATTTCCGTAAATGCACAGTAATTCAGTCTCGATGTGGTGAACGATCCTGACCGTTACGGTGGCATGATGGCTTACTGTAGAAGTAAAATGGCACAGGTTTGTCTTTGAATACCATCACGTTGCTTTGTGCCAGACGTTTCATCTGGGACGGTAGTAAACCTCCCTCAACTTAAAGTTATCGTGTCGTGATTACTTCAGAGAAAGTCATGGTTTGCTAACAGCTCTGGAGCGCTGCCCAACACACTACTTCACATTGATCCATAGCAAAATTAATATTCAAAAACCATTTCAAGCGGGACCTAGGTTTTTCAGCTTTTGCTTTGTTTCTCTCCTGTTCTTTTTGTTCTGTACTTCTCAAATGAATTAGGGAATCCCCTGATTTGATCTAGGGTTAATTCGCGGTAGTCTGACTCTTTATTCCATGATAAAGGCCCTTAATCACCATCTTCGATTCAGAGTTAGGGGTGGTTTCCCGCCATTCTGATGTATTATGATCAGCTGTTCTTTTTGTAGAATCTCTCAAATATTCGTTTTTATGCAGGTGATGTACACGTGGTATCTTGCTAGGCTTCTGGAAGAAAAACGCCTGCCGGTAACAGTCACAGTATGCCATCCAGGAAGTGTCGATACCAACATTCTCAAAGAATCCGGGTTTCAATGGGTCCAACGGGTTTACGGTAGGGCCTACCCCAAATACTTGTGGGCTCCGCGCGAAATATCCTTTTCAGGTCAGAATATACTTTTATCAGCGATGAATTCAATATGTATGCCCTATGTTCTTCTCTTGGGTTCTTAAACCTTGGAAACTTTTTTTGAAGGCCGTTGATGTGGTTTGTTGCTGAAAAACAAAGGACGATGGCGCCAAGTGCCTCTGTGGTGCTAGCCCTGATGAGAAGATACAACAAATTAACGGACGCTTACTTCAGGGAGCTCAATATTCGTTTATTGTATAAGGTTTGGTGCAGTAGAGAGCAGTTGGCAAGCTATTTTTTTAAATAAGTACCCATATCTCTCTTCCGCGCCTGTACCTTCCGAACTTACGCCAACATTTGTTTTCTACCTGACGGAAGAACCCAACAGGTTTGAGCTTCATGTCCAGTGTGCGTGGTTAATTGTTTTTTAGTGTTCATCCTGTAGAAGGTCGGCAGTTGTAGAGCCGCCGGTAGGTAGACAGATTAGGGGAGCTAAAAATTGTAAATTGGAGGATGGGAGTTTCAGATTTCAGAAGGCAGCCTTTAAACATGCGTACCAAGCCGTTTTTGCACCGCGTGGGGCAAGACGCCTCGCGTCTATGGGAACAGCACTCTGCGCTATGCATTCGCAGCGGCGCACCACTGGTGGCGGCATGCGGCCACACGGGACAGAGATTTTGATTCAAAATCCTCTTCAGAGGGTCCGTATACGCACTTTGTTTTTTATTTCTTGCTAGAGTAAATAGGGACTTTGGTGTAGGAGATACGCTGATAATTTTGCCTAATTTAAGAACTGTCGTTGAACATTCCACAGCTGGCTATCGAATGATTTATGTAACAGCGGGTATGAGGGACAAAAAATCTGCTCTGACCAAGTTCTTGGGTGAAAAAGCGATGGCAACAAGTTCGTGTTCCTGGTGCACCCCACAACCTGCTTAAGCATGGTTTACTTGAAACAGCAATGAGGTTTATTTCAGTTTACAGGATATTTGTAGTGCATCACCTCTCACTGGATTTCACAAGGATTGTGAGTGTATTAACCATAATTGCGAACAATTTAGTGTATCGATTTGATCACGAGGTAGCGCAGAGCGCGGAGTTCACGAGATTTCAAGTAGAAGTTATTATGAAGATGAGTGCCTAAAACGAGACTTTTCAAAAGTATACAGCCAAAAGCAAGTTAAGTGGAAAAAGCGCCCCGGAAGCCTTTCACCGCTGATTGTTCCGGGCACATCACTTTATTCACGCGAAGCTTGTTGGCTGAAACACATTATTGCAGCCTCAAGTTGGATTACATTTAGATGCGGTGACTGTTGAAGTTGCTCGAAAGTAATGTATATTATTCAAGCAAATTTAATTAGGCAACTAGGCTCTTATTAGTGTCACATAAATATTAGCTCACAAGCTGGGAGATCCCACTCAAGTATGTTGTTCGTGCCTAGTGCAGATAAACATACTATCTGCGCAAAACAGGAATGAACATTCGACAGCCCACTGCTGAAGGGAAACCAACTCAGAAATCGTGGCGCCACCATGTGGCGCACCGGCACACGGGGCAGGAAAGTCGTGCGCCGCCATGTGGCGTACACGGTACGCAATGTGTTAAAATTGAGGAAGAGGTGGTCAGTATGCAGGTATGAAGAGAAAGCCGTAAGAAATGGCCCAGAACCCGAGAAATGGGACCCTTTCCATGTCTGAATTCCACATTGAGGCCACTCTCATCGGTGCTGCCCTCTCGAACGCTAACGCTCTTGCAAAACTGCTAGAAACCTGCAGCGGTAGTTAGTATGGCGGTAGGCGGGATGCGCCGCCGCTAAAGGGATGGCCACACTAAGTGGCGGGCCATATGCTTCGCTGCGAATTGCGCATCCGCTGCATCCTTGAGAGGCAGGATGAAAATAGGTCGAGGATTTCACTACGGCTCGTCGAGGACTTTGGCCTGTTCAGTCACGCTCCTTAAGCGCGGACATATACTCCGCCAAGCGCGAGCTATCTGTGCTCTCCTCGCGTATATCTAATCCCGACACTGTTTTCACACAGTACAGACTCATGGTCGGAGATTTCCTCGACCGTTATTCACCCTGCTAGGGAGACTGCCTCGTTTTCTACTAGGTAAATTCCCTTCTTAGACCTCGACCTTAACATGAAATCCTCCTCCAAATGAGCTCGGTTTGACGCAGCGATTTCTTTTGAGCTGTGCCGCTACACTGGGACTGCCGTTGCAAAACTCTTTGATAGCCTACAAAATGGCCAGCGGATGCAATCAGTTCTATCATTTCAATCGAAACTTTATCATTTTCCTAACAATGCATTGCCACGACATACTACGGTAAAAAGGCAGTGACGAAATTGTTAGGCTGTTCCAAGGGTCGTGGTCGAAAATGGAAACAGTACATACCCCAACGATGAATCTATTTGAAATCATGATAACGGTTTTAAAACTTGAAGTAAGACATTTCAAATTCCAGGGATTTCGCTGTCCATAAACCCGTAGGCAAATGCTGGAAGGAGGAGTCATGCAAGAAGCTGTTCGAGGAATCATTCGAAGCGGTGAAGGCTCCTTCACTCTGAATTACGTGTGCTCGTATTTTTTCCTGATCTCTTTGTGCATATAAACATGTGAGCTGCAGTCTTTCGCTCTAAGTCACATGAAAAGATTTTACAATAGAAACATTGCCTATCATTCATGTCATTCAGTATGAAAAAAGGTTGCCAATCCCAGCTAATGCCCTGGCTGATCGCCGTCATTATTACCATTCGCAGCTAAGTGGTGACTGCTCCCTCTCGAGTATGAATCTCTCGCGTCTGTCCCCTCCTCGTAGCGCTGTGTCTCCCCGTAAGACCACATTCAAACTCGCAACGGGAATTTCATTATTTTCTAAGGTGCTTTTTTATTTTTCTCCCTCTAGCGTTTTTCCTCATACTTTTTGTTCGGATTTCGTACAAACTCTCACATAAATACGATTTCGACCGAGTCTTTGAATGGAGTGAAGCATGCTCTCGTACTTTGTGCCAGTAGTCACTCGTTGCTGTAGAGCACCGCATGCCTTGAGTAAGGTAACGATCTGTTCTTTTCAGTGATCCAGGGCACAACCCAGCAGATTTCATGGGTTCCTATGTTTACCCATACCGTTTCTGTTTTCTTGATGCTTTTTCTGCCATAAGCACACTTCGCAGGGGGCAGTGGTGTAGAGGCAAGTGGCACGCTCACCACGTCTAAGGTCCAGGACTGAATCCTGGTCATGAATCGTCCTGCGAACCAAGCCTCGCATCCCTCCGGGGTCGTTTAACTGGTATCAGACTTGTCTGGGAGGACGAAAACGCTGACATGTATATCGGCCGGCCCGCGTAAGTCATTGTGTAGGCAAATTGCATTGAAACGCCACTACGAATGTACAAATGGAAGTAGAATGCGTGCAGCATTTCCAAACAGGTTTGAGCAATGGCAAATGCTTTATCCTTTTTAGTACACTTCAACGCACTCCCGAACGTTCAGGAACTCAATTTTTTGAAAAAAGCGTTCGTTCTGATGGTAAAATTTCTGCAAGCTCTCAAACCTTGTACCCTTTCTGATTTCCTTTCTCGGCTCTGAGCAGGCAGTTTCGTCAGCGTAGAACAATTTCTTGAGCGATTCCTCCATGAGTTCGTTCGCCAAGGCTTATGGAGGAAAAAGAATGAGGCGCTAAGTAGCGTCATTCATTAATGTTCTGCCACGAAGTCATTTTTCTTCTGATTCTACATAGGATGGATTCTAAGATAAGCTTATATCTTTAGCGAAGCAGTTCTTTTGGTTTAATCCCTTCTCCCAAGATTCTGCAGGTTGGACAATATGGGCGTTTTCTGGAGAGACAGATTTCAAATGCATAGTAAAAAACTCATATTCCTGAAGTCATGGAACCTGAAGAAGGCACTGCTCATCTTCAAGAGAACGTAACCTCCACCGTCCAACTTACAGCCCCAGTAGGAAATTGTTTGAAAATAAAGAAATCGGGAAACTCGATGACCCCGAACGTTCTGACAAAATCTTTGAATGCCCTCGATGTAGAAGTCAATTTTGAAGTCGGGCGACAGATCAGTGTATGCTGGGGATGTGTAGTTTTAACGACACGGTTTTCTTAGGGAGCAAAAGTAATGTTGTTTTGAAAATTAAAGAGGCAGATGACATTTTCGGCGCACGCCCCTTACTGCTGTTGCGCTTACAATAAAATCTTCATTCTTAGCGCTACATACAAGTGATAAATGTCCGTTGTGGCCACATACCACAGTAACGATGAAGTTCTCAAGGAAAATCTGTACACTAGAAAAAAGACAAGTGGAACACGGAAATATAACTCTTGAAGATTTATGGAGAAAACCATGTTCTTCCAAGATGTCACCATATCCTTTGGAGAAAGAGTGGAGACTTTCGGAAAATATGGTGGCGTCGGCGTCAAGATAGGCGGCTTCGAGTGTGTGCAAGGAAGGTGGAATGATTTCTCTAAAGCGAGGGATCACGATATGAATGGGTTGTGTTCCTGATGGAAGTTGGGATACTGAATAATGCCCGAGTGAGGAAAAAAGCGGGGAAATTCGTCAAAAACGCGCAAAATGGGACCACTTTCTTTGCTCGTTGACCTAATGGACGAGCCAGCAGTCGACTAAGAGGTCGTTTGCGCATGTTAAACCACTAGCCGCTTTCATTCCAGCAAAGCTTTATTGATGACGCATTCCATAGAAACGTTATAGGATACACACTTGAAGGGAATACCTCATCCGAATTTCAGAAAAATGACGCCGCTAGCAACGCGCTTTGGCGGAGCTCGGGCTCGCTCCCCCGCTTAAAGGCCAAATTCACGATGAAAGAGCAACCCGCTTCAAATTAACTTAGGGATGGTGAGTGGTACACGAAAGAAGAAAGAACCATGAGGAACGGCCCAGAACCCGAGAAATGGGACCACTTCCTTGCCCGTTGATTCGAGCATTGATGCGACTCTCATCGCTGTACCCTCTTCAACACTACGCTCTCTCAGCTATCTAATCACTTGCCACGTATTGAACTACGGCGAGTGATCAGATGATCGGTGGGCGGAGATCGCCGACCCGCCAGCTTTGAGGCATGATAGGTCGCCGAGGTCAAATTTTTCGATGCGAATTTCGCGTCAGTTCGCACCCTCAGGAGGTCCGTGGGTCCCTCAACTAGGTGTCTCCCTTTCTTCGACCTTCATTCTAATCGTGAATTCCTCCTTTAAAGAGACGTTTTCCTTCCATTACTTGACAACAACTGTGCTGATCCCTAACACAGCAGATAAACGACTTATCGAATGATTAGAGTCTAGCATCTTTCTGAATATTGTTCGTGGTAAAAGAAGTGGTTTCTCTTCAACGTCAAGACCAATCGTTCCTGGGACTTGGTCCACATAGAGTTATAGCGGTGGGTAACAAACTTTCCGGATATTCTGACTCACTTTGCAATGTTACACCAACAGACATTTTCACACAACGAGAGAGTGACTATTTCATATAATAAACTATACGTACGCGAAAGATACATTCAAAACATCTTCATTCTCAGTTACATACGTAATAAAATATAATATATGCAATACGCTCTTGTTATTTTATTGTGGCCTCCTTACACATTGAATATGCTTGCGTAGCGAATGCCAACATTGTGATCGGATCCGCTACCCTTCATTCTGTCTGAATTCTTGATATATTCCTTTTTGCTCAGACGAGTGAGGTGTCAGTGTGGTAGCAACCATTTCCTGTTCTTCGGATGATTTCCTTCTCAAGGATCGAACAGAACCTTTATAAGGTCGGTGGTATGGATCACCGCTGCTCCCGACGAGCCAGAATGTTTCCATTACACCTTTTCCCTAAAACTGAACAATCTAATTTGTTGAGCTTAGAGTTAGAGAGTACAGTGGAATCACCGAAGGAATTTAGCAAGGACTCTGCCCTTACCTTCACTATAATTTCTCCTCTAGATTCGACTTCGTAGCCTCCAATCGCAGCCAAAAGCATTCTTGCTTCGGACGACATATGAATTTTGCCAGCTAAAGCGTTGAAACTTGTTTTCGATTATTACGAAAAACAGTTTGTTATCCTCCCTTGGAAATGTTTCCTCTCTTGTTTACTAGAAACAAAATTTGAAAGAAGAAATTTTGAAGGATTCTGGTTGCTGATCTAGCGAATTACATATTATCGCCCCTGTCGTATTTGAGTCTGTCTACTGTATTCGCTGATCTGGCAATAAAAGTACTGCTATTCTAGAATGAGCCACCACGTCAGAGGAGACAGGAAGCCGATAAACGTATTCTAGGAGTACATCGGCCATTTCACTCAACGCGCCCCCTCATCCTCTCGCACAGGGCCAGATACGACCCCAATCAGGGAACTCTCAACGTTGGCTCACCTTCACACTCCTGCAATCAACGCGGAAAAGTTATTCACGTTACATTTTTAATACTTTATAAACAATTTTCTACATAGCTCCCCATCGAGATGCCCCAGATGTTTTGTTTGCAACTAAAAAGACACGCTTTTTGGTGACAGCTTCGAGCCTGTAGTGAAATATGGGAGTGTTTGCACGCCACTTATATAGATTGAAACTCCATCCAGAATCCTTTCTCACCACAGCCATCTCTTGTTTCTTGTGCTTTTATGCTGTAGCTAGATGCTTTATTCACGATCGGCTATACACGCATAATAAAACATAAGGACAGCTCCGCATGCTCATTAGCCAAATACGGTCATATAGGTCTCCATTAAGGAAAGGATCAATCAGAGAGGTAGTTCTTGGTCGAAGTCACAAAATGCGACAAGAGATATCATTGCTACCTATTTTGATTATTAATGATTAGGTTATCCATGGCAAAGGAAACAGCACAAGAATACCATTTCGTCAGTAGCCTTCTCTCTCCATGTAGTGACAAAGGCGCATCATTGAAATGTGAGCAGGATTCAGGATCTACTACTAAACCAGGGATTACTCAGAGGTACCAAGAGCAGTCATACAAGAGATAGGTTAGGTTTTCAGGTTTTTTTTGGGTAAGGCTAGGTTCTCTTTCACGAGTGTCCCATCTGGGAGAATCAAGCTCTGAATATGTTAAATTGTCAAACAATCATTTGAATTACTCACGTTTTCCATTGCTCTCCATCCTGCTTGCTGTATTTACGGTATCACCGAACAGGCAGTATCGAGGCATTGTCAATCCCACGACGCCTGCTACGACAGAACCTGAAGATGACAAAGTTGTGAGATCCCCCTAGCAGATACGTTTGTGGTAAGCTATGGGTACTGTTTATAGCAAACTCGTGTAGGTGAAATTCACTTCAACCCTTTCGAACCTTTTCCGTGGAGAAGTTTTTCCTCTAGCTATTGCTTACTACTTATGAGCTCATAAATATCATTATAGCAGAATGTGGGAGCTATTCGTTCACAAACTGACAAACTAGGAGGCTTTAAAAATTGGCCCACCTTCTTGGTTTTTAGACCTGTATCGAAACAGTTCCAAATTTCATGGTCATGTTGAAAAAGTTTGTTCTTGCACAACATTATATGCAAGTATTTTAGAAAGGTGACACTCACTTGGCAGGTTGTGAGGAAAGCGTCGACTGATTGTTGCACTTGTACACAAATATTGTAATACTAAGGGCAATACACAATGAAATGGCGGTTTATCGCATAATTGAAGGGGAAGATTGAGTAAAGGCCAAATATTAGCCGTATTAGAAAACCAGATGTGCTGTTGCAGCGTAATGCAGGCATTATTGAATTTGATGGTGGCCAGTTCCACGCCCAGGCCGAAAGGTTTAAAACAAAAGCAGAAAAAAAGACAGGGATCGTGTCCAGTTAATAACCTACGTATTAAAGGACTTGCGCGGAAAAAGTCAATGATCTAATTTCCCAGCCATAAATACTGGCTTGAATCGTGACTCATTACTCACAATCATAGTGAAAGAAACTGAAGTATGGCTTTCGTTTGATTAGAAATTCGAAAACTCGAAAAACGGCTGCTACGGCGTTCGAATTTGCCCACGGACGCTTTTCACGAATGCTGGCGACGTGATGCTCAACTTGAATTCTGAGTGCATTCACTAGAAGCTCTTCTGGCCTTCTGCTTCGTTGCGACTCACATCTTACACTTCCTACTACCATCCTATTCATCGCCGATTTGTCTCCACTCCGCGAAATCGCCGCCTTTAACCCCGTTCTCTCAATGCGGTCCGCCTGGTACGTACCGCAAGCGCCGTCTTCTTCCATGCCTCGCCTGGTCTGCTCCTGGTCCTTCATGGTCCACAGTGTAGCTTTTTGTACGTTTTGTTTCTTTCAGAACCGAGTCTCATCGGAAACTTTGAGGGGGTGGGCCTATTTCAGGATTCACAACTGACCATACTTCAAGTTAGGAAAGATGCAAGAATTTGCACGCCCGCGCAAGATCCTTTAAAGAGGAAGACTGCGTTCTCACTACAGTGGAACTTTAAAGAAATGGGCTTTAATTCTGAATAGGAACTCAATGAGCAGACTGAAATGCTCCTATTAAGTTTGTAGCATACAACCCCCACCCTAATTCCAAAAAATCACGATTGTCCAAGCATTACTTGCGAAAGCGCAGAAAAGAGCTGTCTCCCACCACCATTTGAGTGGCATACCAGTAGTAATCTGATCAGCACCATACAAAGAAACAAGAGCCATTTTCCCTAATACATCTTAGATTGAAGTTGTAATTTACAACCCATGTTGTGCGTCGAATCAAAAAAGCCTTCAGTCTGTAGCAATAGAGCTAGCGTCGGTGATCAGTATCCGTAGGGGTTTTGATGAAAAGAGGAGTTCAAAAACAAATTTTCCCGAACTTTTAAACTTATCTTTGTAGAGCTCGGCAAACCGAGTTGAAATATCTAATTTTTTTGGGTGAAGAAACAAAAACTGATTGAGTTATGGAGAAAAACGAAAAAATGCGAATTGGCGTTTTTATCGTGATTTTTTGAACAACTAAGGTGGGTATTGTAGTTCACAAATAATTCTGAAGGACACTTTTTGAATAAGTCATTTATGGTGCGCAGCCGCAGGGATGCACCGATTTCGTGTGCATCCTGTGCGGCTGCGGATCGTTCGGGTTCATGCGAAAAATGCTATCTTAATCGCTGGCCAAGTGGTGGAGAAGTATCGAGAAAACCGCCCAGCCCTGCTACCTAGCCTTCCTTGATCTAGAGAAAACATTGAGCCGTCTAACGCGACCAGTGCCCTGGAAGGCGCTTTGAGAACACCTGACCTCTCTGGTGGACAAAATGTAAGATGAGGCTACGGCAGCAATGCATATTCCGCACAGCCTTAACAAATCAAGTCGACGTCAGCAGCGCACCAAGGTTCGAGCAACTCACTCTTTTCCTGACACTAGATGCCATGGCTTCATCAGAAGTTCCCTTGGCTTTTTTTTATTTTCAATAAACCATACGTGCTTTTATTATACCACTGTTACCTCACCATTTGATCCAGAGCAGTTGTTTTAATGAACATCTGTTAGTTGAACTGAGAAAGTCTGAAACCTGCATGAATCCCGATTCTCAGATTGACGCTGTCCTGAGGAAGATGAGGTATCACAAAGCTCCTGAGGCTGCTCATGAATCCAAGCGACATGCTGCATATTTCCTTTATGTGCTGTTGACCATTTCTATGAGGTAGTCCACTCACGCAGAGGTAACCGTCACCTATTGTTTCCACCTAAGTAAACATTATACGTTTTAATGTTGATGCGTTACTATGTTATTCAGAGGACGGAAATGATGGCATTTTCTTTTGAAAAATAAGACTTGCCTTGTAGACGTCGTGCGCATCGATAATTCCATCAAACACTGTGTAGAGGTCATTGAGCAGATTGACTACCTGGAAATGAACTACAACGTGTCTCTGAAGTATAGAAGTCCGCTCTATTTCCCCCGATATCTCTGGGAGGAGCGTTCAAATTTTATCAGCGACACATCATGAGAGTTGTATTAAAGGCAAGCTCCAGGTTGAGCCTCACTGGAGTAGTCGCTCCCTTGGATTGAGGTGTGTGGTCCGTCACTGCATATGTCGCCTGAATTCCGTGCATCGAATGCGTCACCAAGACGCTAGGCGCTAAGGACTTAGATCCAATCTCGCGGAGTCTATCAGGATCCGCCCACCGTTCGGTATCTTATTTGCGTCGCGATGTTGATCGCCTATGCGCTCTCTGCTCAAACTTCTCGCCCCTTCACGCGAGTCACATTATTCCTCCCCTCCGTGCCTCTCTCAGTCTTCCTTGTGGGCAGAGCAAGGAGACTCGTATTTTCCGCGTATTTCACGATTTTCTTTTTCTCCACTGGCAGTCCGAATCCCACCCCTGTTTTCATATTTGATTGGCCTGTTTTCGTATTTGATTGGAACTACAACATCAATATGATTCTTAGTCTAGCTCTGATATAGTTTATCCCTTTCCGGACCGCGCACTTTTCCCGTGGCGGGCGCGTGTGGCCGACGCCTTTTTATGCTCATCGCCGCGGGCTGCTCGGCGAGCATAAATACCATACATTTCATCTGTATTTCCATTAAACCATAATCTTGCCACCTTCTTGTATTTGCGATGTTTGAAGGTTCATATGTGTGACGGGAAACCGTCGTGTAATCAAAGCGAAAAAGGGAGTAGGAATGAGAATTGTTCAAAACAAAATGTAGTATTAAAAAAAGGCACCAGAAAGTGTCAGAAACGTTTGCATATAATAGCATCAGATAAGGCGTGCACTTGGTGTCATAGAATATTTTGTATGAAGTGTTTTCAAATAAATTATAACTGCTTTCTTTGAGCTCAGAGTGGAAGTTTATTCAGTTTTTAGATTTTTAGAAGCACGTTTGACGTTGAAGTTCAGGTTTTTTCATACGTGAGTTTTGTGTATGTTACATAGATAATTAGTAAAACAGAACACTTTGTCGAAAAACCGAAAAATCACCCCTTGAAGTCCCTGTCACCCCATGGGTGTCAGGCGGCCACAGAGAGCAAATTTTGCCTGACACCCCATGGGTGTCAGGCGGTCCGGAAAGGGTCAAATAGACATCATAAATCCCGAATATAAAAAAAATACATACTTCATCCAATTTTTTAAATGTTGTGTCCCTAAAATATTCAAGTTTCCTGTTTTGTGCATCCATTATAAATGACTTGTTCGTGCTTCCCTTTCCCCTTCCGTAGCGCGCAGCCGCAGATGAGAGGGGCAGAGACCCCAAAAGAGGGAGATAAGAGCTAAATGAAACTAAGCAAAAGCTGTCACCGGAGCAGAAAACTGCCACTGCCGCCCGGAGCGCGCTCTTTATACCTCCCAGAATAGGTCTGTGTATACATATACCTTGCTAGTAGGCGGTCCGGTGGGCATGGCATGTTGGAACTGGTTGTAATTTGTACGCGGTAAATTCTATATATGTAGTATATTATACATATTATATAATATATATTAATATGATATATATATATGCCAGCTCGGCACTTGTTTGTTGTGAACTTCTGAAGGCTGAGAAGGCTCAGTCTCAGGGTATTCGGGTGTGCAGTCCTTATTCTGGGAAGTCATCACACCACCTTCAACTACGACTTTCTCCCAATTCTGCACCTTGGCTTGAAGATCCTCTCTGCTAATCGCTATCGAGGCGATGTGGTCGGCGTGGAGGATTGTCTTCAGTAGTCTCTCTATAGCACCTTCACCACGGCATCTAGCGCCAGGAGGGAGAGGGCTTAGAGCTCATACTTAAGGCACTCCGACCGTGATGTCTACCTTCATTAGGCCGTGACAACTGCCTTAGCCTCATCATACATGTCTTCACCGGAGAGATCAGGTGTTCTGAACTGTTCATTCCCTGAGTGATCTCCATAGTACTGCGTACGTTCGACGGTCAAATACCTTCCCCAAGTCGAGGAAGGCTAGGTAGCAGGGTCGACACGTTTCTCGATATTTCTCCATCACTTACCTTGCTATGAAGATGGCATCCGTTTTGGATCTTCCAGGTATAAACGCGTAATGTTCCTCGGAGATCTGGATAACTCCCTACGCTTCGAGTCGACCAGTCATTCGTACAGCTTCATTGTATCAGCAGACAACTTATAGCCGCGGTAGTTGGAAGAGTCCACTGAGCCACTTTTCTGCTTGGAGATATGGACGATGGACCTGTTCTTCAGGCATCAGTATCCTTCATCCTGCAGTCACCGCACTCAGGAAGCGGGTGAGCCATCTAATCCCCCAAGCGCACTTCAAGCCTCCATGGGTTCTTCATCAAGCCCAACCGCGTTTCAAACCTTCATGTTCCCAAGTGCGCATTCAACCGAGTGCGATAGAATCAGCTGTGACCTCTGCCTGTGAGTTGTTCTTGTGAAGCACTCTTGCCACCTCCTCCGGACTTCGGCTGGCTTTCTCAGGATGGCACCCTTCACACTATTCACCGCCAAGGGTAGCCTGAGTAGCCCGATGTCGTGCTTTCGCCAGCCTAAAGAAGAACTTCTATGCGTTTCTACTTTTCAACTTGTCGTAGGCCTTCACCTCCGTGTTCTTCGCCTTGGCTACGACAGTCTCCACAACCAGCGAGGTCCTAGGGCTTCGTATATTTTGCTAGTGCTTGTATGCTTCCTTCTTACGCTTCACAACCCGCTGGACCTCCTCGTTCCAGATCCATGCTGCCTTGTCTCCTCTGATCCTACACCGCGTCTCCCCCAATACCTCCTTGGCGTATCGTAGGATGATCTCAGCTGCATTGAACCAAGTCCTCTGCACTAGTACTCCGGATCAAGAAGGTCAACTTCCATTACCCTTCGCTTGACGTCGCTGTTCTCTGACTCTGTCTTGGTTCTTATCCGTGTCTTCTTGGAAAGATCTATGGCTATGTTTGCCATGAGAGACCTCTGCTGGAGAGCCAATTCTTCGCCATGGAGTACCTTGATGTCCTTCACGAGTTTTGAGGAATGATGTTTTTACCAGCACGTGGTCGACTTCCGTTTGATAATTAAATAAGCGGATAATTATTGCTCAACCTAAAACAGCCGCTCCAAAACATAATTTTAGAAGTGGAGCGAAAATCCTTGTTTCCTTTCTGCTAGGATCGCGAAGCCAGCGGAACAATTCAGCATAACGCTGACCTCTATTTGTTATCGGTAGTTCTTCATTGCATCTCAACACATCTAGCTAATCATCACGCGACCGACGTCGTGGCTCATTGGTTTGTGAGCGATGTTAAGTGGGTTTGCCTTCCTTAATGCGCCTTTTCTCTACACCGCACTCTGAATCCACGAACGGGCTCAGTCATGGAATGAGTACAAATGGGGCCGGTGCGTATGCCATTGTTGCAAATTGATTCATCAACGACTTTTGTGTGTAAGAATTTTTCGCGAGTTTGGTGAAAGACTTTGCTTCACCAAAGTGGCACAGTTGTCGCAGGGTCAGAAATTAATGTAAAACTCATTACCTAGCACTCACTCACCAAAGAATTATGAAAAATTTTAGCGAAACTTGACGAAGTACTAAGTTCGGAAACGAAGCTCGTGGCTGCTTTGACAAATGGTCATATGAGTGGCCACTGGACGTATAAATGAGTGCGTCACAGAACCGATGGCCCTTATAGATGATAATTTACGACTGAAGCGACATTTTCTTACCCAGAGTGAACTGATATTATTTGGCCTTCAAAATTAAGCCAGCTGTAAAGAAGAGGCGTAGGCAAGTGGAAGACAAGACTGCAGCCACATCTCGATGAATGATAAGCGAACCTGCAACCCTATTAATTGTCTGAGCCGCTTTTGGCGTCAGCTCCGTGTCACAGCGTTTTCATCAAAATTTTACCCATAGGAGCATAAACGACGTCCACTCCGGCGCTACTTGTTGACCCTGGTGAGCAGCGTCACTTGCCGCTACACCACAAAATACCCAGCATAAATGCAACAAGTTTTTGAAGGTCCATCAAAGAGCCTTTGGGAAAAATTCTACGTGAACGTACCTGCAATGGAGTACACTTGGCGGCAAGTTTCGTAAACGATACTACGTCGGAGAAAAACACAGTGACGCTGTCGAATGTCTCCGGTTCAACAGATTGGCCGAGCTTTAGTTTATCTGCGACTTGTCTTAAATGAAGTGATTACACTGAAACTCGTACGCATCAGTGAAATGCAACTCTTGAAGCAGAAGCACGGCTGCCAAAAAAGCGAAAAGTAGCCCTTGACGACTTTGTGCTGGTCGCTGAGCTGATTTGAGAACCGCAACGCCCCTTAATCGCTTCACCCACTAAGTAGCTGTGGTGATTTGGGCAGGCTGTGTTAGTAGCGGTACCATATGCTTTTACTTCAAAACGACATTTCACTTCATCTTTTGACTTGTCTGTGTGAAGCACTATCATACAAATCGTCGTGTTAGTTGTTTATCGCGGTTTGGTCATTTTCAGTAAGTGGTCTTCTCAGCGCGAGCTCAGCTTTCAAACAGAACAAAACCAAGTTCTACTGAAGTTTCACGTTACTATCATGAATATTAGGAGGGGTGAGGTGGCATTCCATCCTATTTAGATTTCTCATCATCGCTTCATGCGGCACTGTTGCACGCTCTATAACGTTGCTAAAAACGCATGGTTTAAACCGGACCCGCACCGCAGGGTTCCAAAGTTAAGCTTCAGGCACATTTTTTCAAGTGTTAATCTCCTACCTGGGCAACATTCTGTATAGAAGTATATCACTTTTCTTTTGCTCCTCCACTAACTGCTTTGTTCGATCCTCCACTTCGCCTTCAAGTGTGGAAGCGTACTGCTCGAGCATATTGAAAACGTAGTCCATGAGATTCCCATTTCTTTAAGAAATCGCCATTTCGTTTGTCAGTTTAAGAAACGTATATACATATATGTAAGGTATACATTGCAGTCATACAATCGAGGCATTACTTTGGTTGGCTACATCACTTCGAAAAGTCTGAAGCAATGTTGTCGTTTTCTCAATCAGACATATGGTTTGTGAATGCAAGCTAAGAATTCACGATATAGCGCCAAATGAGTTCTATACTGAAATTGATCACTTGGTATAAAAGAGGGCAGTGCTCGAAGATTGTTTGGTTTATCACCACACAGCTGACTTCAAACTGGGATCAGTATCGGAAAATGTTTGCCATACACAGTACGAAAGTCAATTGTTCTTCATTCTTTTTCCTCATATTTTGAACGATTTTTCTCGAAGGACGCTCGCTCGCGCGTGAATTTAGATCCACAGGTGAAAGGCTGGACGACGTCGCCTCTTAGAAAGGTATTAGACGTCGCTGCAAGACCTTCCGGTTATCTTTGAAGTCATTCTGCAGGTCACTCACAAATTTTCACTACAACATCGTTAGAAGAAGCACCACACTTTTAACCACACTTATTCAAAAGTACCGACGAATGGCATCATTTATGGTGCGATCGCCACATCGACCCATGTACCGTCGTCCAGTCTACTTCTAAGCATATGTAGTTCAACTTTAAGAATTGAAGTCGTGCCTCTCCGTCATGGTGAGTGAGCCTCACGACCACCCCGCTGCCTTTCCGACAAAGTCGGTAGACAGAATCATTTGATTACTAGCAAATCTGTTTGAGTCCAGGTACTGCATGCAACGTACGTCGCTCAAAATTTTTCTGATATCGTTGGGTAAACATCTTCTCAGGAAGACCATGACGGGACATACGGAAATGTACCTCAAAGGTTTCACAAGGATGCTGGGTTTTGAACAAAATTTTTGCCCCGGAGAAGTGCTCTACGAATTACGCTCCCGAGGCACCATTTCGTGCCACTCAGCTTTTCATGGTATACAGTGCGCGTCAACTGTATATGCCACCCCTAATTTTTTCACTTTTCTGACTTGTTTGGAGATTTCGTAAATCGTCATAGGAACCCTCGTTTTCGGCGTGTCGGAAAACTAAGAATGGTGTTATTTGATTGTGATTAACGCGTTGATTTCAATTGCTCTGTTCTTTTGAAGAAAATGGGCCGCGTCAATTGCTTATGCCATCCTCAAATTTCTTCGAAAATTCTCATGTCTCTGACGCTATTCAGTTACGGTGTGCATGTAGTACAAATGAGAAAATCCTCGACTTATGCAATGCACACAAATGGTGAAGCATTTATAACTAACTAGTTCGGAATACTAGCCCTTACACTGGACGGGAGCAGCATGAAAACGCTTTATCAGAAAGAGAGCTGTGTGTTCACTTTTGCGATCGCTCCTGCTGCTTATTGTACAGCTCATCGAAGAGTGTATCGAGACGAAAATGGGGAAATTGAAGTGCTTAAGGAGCCCCCAAATTCACATTTTCCCGCTTTGAATCCGTGGTCAACTTTATTTGTGGTCTTGGCTCCCTGCGAAGCTCGAAGCGTTCACGCTCACAAAGTCTTTATTTAGAGAGAACATGACTCGTACCTACTACACGTCTGGTGCCCATCACTGAACTCGATCGAAGTTTTCTCATCAAGGCGATGCAATGATGGCCTATGCTATAGCTTCGATGTCCCGTTCAAGTTACAACTGGCCCATGTCATCATTTTCGCTCGCTCGGTACGAAAATTTTTCCAGAGAGAATCCGAAAAAGTTCGGCGATGGGTACTACGCGGATTGTGAGTGCAACTCACATTCTCTCTAAACAGAGACTTTGTGAGCGTGAACGCTTCGAGCTTCGCGGGAGCCGAGAGCACAAATAAAGTTGACCACGAATTTGGAGCGGGAAAATGAGAATTAGAGCTTTTTGAGCACGTAAATTTCGCCAGTTTTGCCTGGATACGCTCCTGTTAGGTTCTACAGTAAGCAGCAGGAGCGATCGCAAGAGTGAGCACACAGCACTTTCTCTGATAAAGCGTTTTCATGCTGCTACCGTCCAGTATAAGGGCTATTGTTCAAAACTAATTAGTTATAAATGCTCCACCATTTGTGTGCATTGCATAAGTGGAGGATTTTATCATTTGTTCTGCGTGAACACCGTAGCTGAATAGCGTTAGAGACATGAGAAATTCTGAAGAAACTTTAGGATGGCATAAGCAATTGACGCGACCTATTTTCTTCAAAAGAACAGAGCAATTGGAATCAACGCGTTAACCAAAATCAAACAACACCACTCTTAGTTTTCTGACACGCCGAAAACGATGGTTCCTATGCACACGAAATTTCCAAACAGGTCACAAAACTGAAAAAAATTAGGGGGTGGCATACACAATTGACGCGCACTGTATCTGTCAATTGGAGCGCACTTTCTCGGTGAGCTAGGGGTGCGGTTCGAGTTCCGTCTAGAGTAAAGTTTTTTTTAACAACCCAGCATTCTTGTGAAACAGTCAAAAGGCGATTTGAGGAAAAAGGCAGCGGTCAAAAACAAGTAGCTAAAAGGGTTGTTGTATTCAAAGATGTGTTAGTGACAAGTGCTCAATTTTACAGGCGCCTTCTATTGATCCTTATAAGGAACTTTTCCAAGAGGTTCATTTTCCTAGGATGAGTAAAAGTTATGAAACGGTGCAAAAACCATTGCAAAACTAGTATAAAAATGAATGTTCAGAAGAAATGCTGTTGCCAAGCTGAACATGGGCGTTATCCTTTCAATAGAACTCGGTTGATGTATGCTGAATAACAACTTCACGATATATCTTAGGCCTGAATAGGAATTCGTGGGGGATGTGACACACTACTTGTGCTTTTTTTTCACTTTTTGCTCCTCTCTTTTAGCCTTCTTTCAGAGCTCTGGTCGGACAATCAAATACATCCACCAACACTGTACGTAAGAACTTGATGGTTCGACGACAACTGGATTAGTCGGGTTCCTCATCCACATATTGCACCTGTTTTAACACCGCAATGCTGCGGAAGAAGCGCGTACAAGACAGCTGTTTAAGAGTTGTCGTGAATGAACCACATGGGGGGCGGGTGGCACAATCCTCGTTCCCTCACACACCCGCCAGTAGTCCCTCCACTGATTCTGCTGCTATCACTCTCTGGCTTGATTTGTTATGCACCTCACGACAAGAGCATGTCAGTTGTCGGAGCAAAATGCTGAGCTTTTTCAGGTCTTTCATTTTTGATGCACCGAAGTTCGATAATCTTGATTCAATGATTTCAAAATAGCAAAAATTTCCCGCATAATACCTGTTCGGATCGATGGCTTTGAGGCTTGACTTCACCACATCCACGGATGGCCTCTCAGATGGGCGCTCCGCCCAGCAGTCACGGATTAGGTGGAGCTGTAAAAAATGAAAATTTATAGTGGTTGACAAAGATGAGAAGGTGTTTGATATTGCTGCATCGCATTTTGCCTATCAGGCTCAGATGGGCATTAGGTTCTCGTTTGAAGAGTGCCCCACCTTCAGACAAAAGTGGATCCCAAGTTTTGATACTTGTGTTTGACCGCGCGTTCATAGCTTACCGACCGAACCATTGCATGAATGTCTTTTATTGAATTGTCTTACGTATCGGGTGAAGGTTGTACGGGACCTTTATATGAGACTGTAGCGGTGTTCCTACAAGGTGTGGCATAAATATGGTGGCAAAGTAATTGTGGCCCAGTTGAACCACAAAGGTCAAAACGAGGTATAAAGCAAAGCAACGTATAACCATATCCTTTCCAATAGTTGCTGACATTTCCTTTTCAAAATGGCCGCCTACGAGCTTGGCATTTCTCTTCAAACCTACCCTTTAGAAATTGTACGTTGCCAGAATGACATGCTGCGAAACTTTATCTCGTACTTTGCAAGAGCAGCAGTCAGCTATCCACTCAAACTGTGCTCTTTCGCGCACTGCTTCAGCTTCAGTACTGAATTCAATAAATAATCCGCTACATTCAAATCGGAGGCTTTGGCTGGACAATCATTGTGCAATCCAAAGTCGGACAAATGGACTCTGCAGCAGACTTTCACAACATTTAATTCATCCCGGCAACCGCATTGCTAACAGCTCCAATCGTTATAAGTAGTAAAAGTGAGGTGATTCCTTTTCAAAATACTGCCTTTAATAACATTTGCGTTGCCTATGGCATATCTTCTCTGAAATATCCCCAATCTGAATTTCCTAATGGTAAGTTGTCCTGTAGGTTCTTGGCAAAAGTGAGCGCTGCCTGAAAAATAGCATATGTTGCAGCCCAAAGCGTTTCAGAAAAAGGCAATGGAACACGAGAGCCATCCAAGCCTCTTCATCAGTTTCATTAAACCAGGTGGCGAGCATAATCGTGCTCTTGACCTTAGGTTTTTTGCCGATCAAAAAATAGTTCCCCAGCGCAAAGTGTGCATTGCTCGAGCTTTCACGAACTATCACTCATGCGAAGGCAATAATTCCTACTGAGATTACGCCTACTATCTACCTATATGCTGGACGAAAAAGGAGATAGGAGCGATAAGGCAAAAAATGTCCGAAACACTCTCCATGTTCGCCTTTCTTTAAACCTGGGCATTTGTTCTCGAACAATTAGTTGCTGTTATAGTGCTAAATAGGTTCAGTATGGTGGGATTTTTCAGCCTTAAATTCATCGGTGTCAAGGTCAGAGGTGTAAGAGTCCGAAAACGATAATTCAAAACAAAATAATAGTATAGTAATTAGACAAAGTCAGTGGCACAAATGACTGACCCACACCGTATCTACAAGTAGACGCAAAAGGTGAACTTACTAAAGCTGGGTTGATTTCGATGTCTTTGTTGACAATCAGGGAAGGACGCGATGGAGCATGCCCTCCTTTCTTGACCAGATAAAGGATTTCTGGAAAAGATAAGTGACGTGTGGTTGCTGATGCAACATATTAAGGAACAAATCTGATGAACCTAAAATCCGCTAGGAATTTCAGTGTTAGTGGTAGTTCATATCACTATAAGGCTTGGTACAAAGTATGAGCCAACAGCTATTCTTTAGGCGTTGCTTACAAGCGCACACTTTTATTGCTTATCGATCAGCTATGCTCGCTGATTTATTAACTTTTGTTTTGCTATGCCCGCTATCGCGCGCATCACCCGCTTAGACTCAGCGAAACTAGAGGACGTGAAACATCAGCTAAGTCTTTCCACAAAGCATCTCGCTGTTGCTCAATATATTAGTCGAATACCTAAGGTTTCGCAGGCTTCAGTTTCACTGATGTCCATCATGAATGTGCGTGGTAGCGTGTGTAGCTGAAGTGGTATATTTATCACAGCTTGTGAATATCTCGCATCCTTTCTTGATTTGATAATGTGGTGGTGGATAGCTCTTTGCTGTTAGCCTCGAAACAAAAATGAGACCTCAGCATAACACTCAACACTGATTACATTCACCATTGTTCGGAAATTCTAAGGTCAGCAGTTTAATGAGTTCTGTTCCCCTGATGTTTGAAAATGAAATTTGTTATGCGCAAAGGGCCTGCATGAGCTAAACTGGCTATATCGATATTTGTCCCTGTCCTACCCCTCGTCACACTGATTAGTAAGAGCTCTCCAGTGTCAAGGCGAGTTTTCCAACAAAATCGGGCGACTGTCGCGTTCTAACACATCTCCGCCGCCTTCATCAGTTATTATCACTACCAGTCACACATTGAAAATGTCCCAGTCCAGCCCACATAATACTTGTAAGTATGGACACTCTAGCATCAACGCGAGTTACCCAACGAAATCGACGATTTTTTGCGTTCGAACGCACCTTATTAGCCTGTATGGGGTGTTATTTCAGCCACACACCTATATTATCCAGGTACCACCCAACATAACCCATGAAAGTATGGACGCGTAGTAGTATCAATGCCAACGACAAAACAAAATTGTCAATACTTGCTTTTTGGTCCCTTATCAGCTCTTATCAATCGTTAGCAGGTTCTATCATCCATCATCTGTGTCTACGCCCCACCTTCTATTCATATTCAAGAACTATTAATAGGGCGCATTGCAGGGAGGCGCGTTACGACTTTCTGGTCAGACTCATACACACCAACAGACACACTTGGCCGACTTTATATAGTAGGATACTCCTAAGTTGACTATCAGTGATACTAGAATGAGCTCTTTCCGAAGGTTCGCTTTTACTGCCACTTTATATTGTTTCCAGCATTTGAAACAGTGTGGATATGTCAGCACTATTCGTAACAGGCTACAATCATCTGAGAGCATTTTTCATTCAACTCCGCACACATTAATGGTACTCGAAGGAGTACGATAAAGGCCCGAAGAGAGGGGAAAGGAGGAGTCTATTATAAGGCCCTTCTAGTGTGTGTTATAGAAGCGCGCAAATATCAATCATACATTTGTATCCTAAAATGACATCATGGAAACCTGATGCGTCTTCTTTCCGATTAGTTATATCCCACGGAGAGCTCCTCGCTAATCAATTGAGCACATATGATTCCATAACTGAAAATGATAGTACGGTGCAAAAGTCTTGACGAAGTTCCAATCGTGTTACACAGAAAACGTTCATAATTTTGGCTTCTAGAACAGTAGAACTGAAGAAACTGGTGTACGCAATCGTGTATGAATAGTTAAAAGGTAGCAAGATATTCAATAACGGCTAGGTTTTGCCTTTTTTATTGATCTATTTCACTTGCACGATGACTATAAGTTGTAAGGAAGCTTTGGTTGAAGATTCAGTGCCCCACTTCGGTTGTTTGCGTGGCAGACCGTTACTTTTGCAAAAATTCAGAAAGCGCCTTTTTATTTTTTATCAAAACATAGTGTCGCCTTTGCTCTGGGGCGCCTTCTTCCAATTTTCAAAGCCTTGAGTATAACATGCACAAAGAGTGAATCCGCACGATGGTCTCCTTCCAACTCGAATTAGGGCAGAAGAAACCAGGGGAACAATTTGATAACATTACGTGTGTTTCAAACTGCTGAGAAGACCGCTACTCAATTAGGCGTATTGTATAGTGGTTTCAAGTCACATTGAGCCGGAGTCTGAAAAAGTCGATAAGCTGGTGCCAGAAAAAATGACGCTTTCGTAGAGCCTACCCTTTTTTTTCATAGAATGGAACCGTCTTTTTTTGTCTGAAAAGTGCAGTGCAGAATCAATTTTTCGCAAGGCGAAGATCTGCTGGTTTGTCCATAAATACAGTCAGTAAGACTTTCCAAATGTGAAACTGCACTACACTGCTTTGCATAAATATAAATCCACCTAGAAAAATCCTGAAAATTTGCATAATATTACGTTTCTGAAAAGCCCCCGCAGGGAGAATGTACCAGACTTGGATAGCATCTCGTGTATCGACATCAACTCCCGTCTCGAGAATACGTGAGTGTTTTTGCCTTATTTTTTGAAAAAAAGCCTCTTTGCCGATTTTGCAAAAATATAAATCCACCACACTTTTACTCGCTGGATGCCTTTTCTATTACATGAGTCCGCTTCACTTCTATTACGTTGTCTCTTTTCTAGGTCATGCCAAGAGGAGAACCTCTGTCGGAATTTGAAAAAGGGCAAATCGACGCTAGAAAGGAGCAAGGATGGTCGAACCGCCAAATTGCACGAAATTTGGGCCGGAGTCATGGCGTTGTCAACAGCTTTGTGAAGAGGCCTTCAGAATATGGAACTAAGAAGCAACCCGGACGTCCCCCTCTGTTATCCGACAGGGACAAGCGCCGGATTCTACGAGAAGTCTCCAACACAACCAAGTCTTGCGCGCAAATCAAATCCTCCTTGAAGCTCGACGTTTCAATGTGGACTGTCTGGCGTGTACTAAAGAAGTCTAAATTCATCGTCCGACAGAAAATGCGAAAGGCGCCATTCATGACCAGACGCCATTGTGAGAATCGAGTCGCTTTTGCTAAAAGAATTAGCCGGACAGACTGGAGCAAGGTGGCGGGTAGCACTTAAGCCTTCATTCTTCTGCATTTCTGAATTTTTGTTCTTTAGGTTGTGTTCTGCGATGAAAAGAAATTTAACTGCGATGGCCCCGACGGAAACCGGTACTATTGGCATGATCTCAGGAAGGAGAAGCTCCAGTTTTCAAGGAGGAATTTCAAAGGGGGCGGTGTTATGGTCTGGGCTGCAATCACATCGACACGACGTCTAAAATTGTGCTTTGTTCCGAAAAAGATGAACTCATCCGGTTACAAAATTGTCTTGCGGCACGGTGTTCTTCCCTTCTGGCGCGAAAATCGGAATTCCGATTTTCTCTTATGCAAGACAATGCACCGATACACGTCAGCCAAAGCACTCGGAACGTGGTCCAGTCGTCACCATGTCCCATCTTCTCCCTTGGCCGGCTAAACAGCCCCGACCTGAATCCCATGAAAAACGTTTGGGGTTTATGGTTCGACGAATTTATGCCAATAATGCCCAATTTCAAAACGTAAGGGGCTCAAAAGTGCAATAATAGAAGCAATGGCACCAAGTCAATGAAGAAATTTATCGGAAAACGCTCTACAGAAGGCATGGACAATCGCAATTTTCGCATAATTCGTGAGAAATGGGTCGAAATAATTATAACTAGAAGAACTGTGTTGTTTGGTTCCCCGTTGTTTATTTAGCAACGTTTTGTGAAAGTGGATTTATATTGCTTGCAAAATCGGCGAAAGTGACCCTTTTCGAGAAAATAAAAGATATAAAAATTTTTGCGTTTTCGAAAATGCACGATTGGTTTTTTTTGAATACAGCCAAAATCTAATCTATGATGAGCACATTTTCTCTCGAACATTTTTCGGAGACATCCTGATAGCGTTGTTTCACGAAAAAATCCAGGGGATTTAATATTTTATGAAAGCAGTCTAGAAGGAGCTTCTGTTGCCTTTAGCGCAGTTTGATTCAGGCAGAGCTCTCCAAGCCCAGGCAGAATCGTCATAGTGAAAGTATTCTTGGCAGGATTCAAGAACCCGTTTTGTTTCCGACGAGATGAGTAGAAGCTTTATTCGCAGGCATGATTGGAGACGAAATTGAATGAAAGCATACTTGTGAAGGTTTATATGCAACATGTTTATGTGGTGATGATCTATCACCACTATCACAGTGTACACAAATATACTAGAGTGCATTTCATGATAATGTGTGGCGCATTTGGCCTACCCCCAACAGATCCCGAAAGCTCATCACGTACGTCCAGCAGGGTCGCCATGGATGGGCCCTTCTTCTATACGATGTAACTCGGCCGCATCCCGCAAAACCAACGCTGCAAAAAATGGACTAGCTCGGGTATTGGACTACGCACACACGTCTCACCTATTAGACCTCTTCCCTATTCACCGTTTTCAACCGTGCACTCTTCATAGAGCTACGTTCGCCAGTGATGGTGAAATGACCTTCGCAGGGTCATCGACAGCAAGAACTTTCTTGACAGCCTAATATTATACTTAGCACTACGGCCATTTCTTGATAGGTCCGATACCCCACCCGATATCGACGGTAGGAAGCTTTTTTGCCACAAATACAAAAATTGTGCTTGTTGCTGTGAGATGGACAATGGAATTGAAAAGAGCAACAAACTGAGCTCAATTTGAAGTCTATCTCACAATAACTTTAGGACATTATTGAAGAGTCGCTTCTATTTATTCAGTATTAATGTTGACTGAGAGTTCATCTGACATTTGTTAGCTTCCGCAACACTTCCAAAACATTACACAGAAGACACTTCTCAATACATTTCTTGTAGCGAATGTAGCAAGAACAAGTGGTAGGAAACCGCATAATTCAGTCTCCTCAACATTCGGTGGTTCGAGATACATCTTAATTGCAAGCCTTGACGGTGAGGACGCTTCCATAAGCTTCACGGTTCACCGTCACTTCAAACCGTACCTCCTTTCTCCCTGCCGACGCATTCACTGACACGTGGCGGCCACATCACGAACTTTGTTATATGCGCCAGCTCGGCCTAAGTGCCTGTGGTTTGTCCGTGAAGTGTGGTTTGCAAATGGTTGCTTCTTGACGGACATCTCTGTCTACGAAAATCTTTTTCTCTTTCATGCATAGAACTCTGTACGCTGCATCTACTGAAAGACACAACATATTTATGCGTAGAACGGACAGTGAAAGCTTTCCCGAACAGCTCCATTCGAGTACCACTTGGCATCGCACGCTGTTGCGCGCACAGTTCTTTTGCGATATAGAACGGTGCGGCAGGAATTCTCAAATTCAGCCCGATACACCACGAACATTCGACTTGCCCTTCTATACATCTCCAAGTCACGTGAATAATATTGATGCACTTACCTGTATATGTCAGCCTCCGAAGATCCAACAGTGTTCACCCGAAGTACCTCTGGTGCCGTCCACAGTAGGTCTGAAAAGTATAACAGCAGATTATGGCGGAATTTAAAACATTTTCTGCCTTTCCACCAAGATTCGCAACAAAAGCAGGTGACAGGAACGTTCAAAGATAGAAATCTGATGACAAAATCAAAAAGAAAACGGCACAGTATGTAAATCGGTTCCACTATGGTAGGGCACATGTCGAATTCCATTCAAATTCATGAAAATGGCTGAATACTACTAGTATTACTCGGGATACAATACTGCTCCTAATTTTGAAACATATACGCGTTGCGACGGTTTTATAGCGTCGCAAATAGTCGCACCATCGTAACTCCCTCGAAAGCGGGTTAAATGAAAGGATCTCTACAGCGATGGACTCGCCTCTCTGTGGCGAGCCTAACCATATACAAAACAACTATTTCGGTTTAACAGGTTAAGTTATTCCAAAATACTATCGTCGATCCCTCGTTCGACAATCTCGCCTCTTCTGATTTCCACTATCTCTCCAATCAAGGATCAGCTCTCAATCAGAAACGGTCAACTGAATTGTCCAGTTGCCGAGCGCCACGCGCGGTCACTTAGGCGGTGTCGTAACGAGACATTTTTCCACGAAGTGCGGGATTTTTGGGATTTGATGGTGGGAGCAGCGAAATTCCTGCAGTCTACAATAGTCTCTCTGGGGCGCGGATACCAAATTCCAACTCCCATGCTCTAAGTTCTTAGAAATTGGCGTGAACAAAATTGTTCTCGATTTCGTAGTAGTAATATTGTAAAACACAAAAAAAACGCTTGAAGGAATTGAAACTGAGCGCGCATTGATTGAAATTGAATGTTTAAGAGACGGGTTAACAGAGCCTCCCTCTAACGTTCACTCAGAATGACACACACAGATAAACTCGTCCACTGTAGTTGCAATGTCGCGGCCATGAACAGCAGCGCGGGGTCTAAAGAACGCTGTTCACATACACCCGCTCTTAGCTCCCGCCTTGACGATTTCATAACGCCTCCCCGAGCCACGGTCCACCTCATGTTGAACCAATTTTGCAAGTCTACAACCCCCCTCCCCTTGAGAAGTCTCGATACCATCCGCGCCCCCTCCCCTCCGCTCTCCGTAACGGCTACTTTGAGTAGAAATGAGGCAACGTGCGGCTCCATCGCGTGCCTTTCCATTAGCGCGCACAGTTCTCCACCCGTGCGCCGGAAAGCGACTAATCTAACCATCCAACCAGTAATTGTAATAATCTTCTGCCAAAGAAGTTTTTAGATGGAGTCCTCGAGACTGGCCTAACGTTTCGTTTTTCTCGTTTGGGTTTTCAGTTCTTCCCCCTAATGTCCCGTCAGAACAGAAACATTGGGGAGAGAAGGCCTGTGGCGGTATCAAGGACGTCTCCCAGCCCTCCAGCCACGTTATACTCGCACTCCTTACCCTTCGGACTCCCGCATTTCAATCATTGTGTGCTGGTTAAATGCGCTTTCACCGCACATACCAAGCATTTTCTAATAATCACTCTTTCCTCCTCAATGAGCTACCAGTTGGCGCCGTGCGCGTTGCGCACACAACACAGCTCTGCAGCGATACTGGTAATTGGTGAGGCGTAAACTCTCAATATTGGCCCGTCACACTACGAATATTTGTCTTCTGAGCTAGATTCTATCCGCTCCATCCACCGACGGCTTCTGACCTCTTCTTCTTCGTTAGTCACTGTCATTGACCTCTAATCACTTTTTTCCGGTCTGCAAAAATTCTTGGGACTGAATTCTTGGGATTGACTTTGACGCAAACGCCGCCTGCATTGGCTCACGTCCCACACACCAATTGCAGTTGACCTCCCATCCTTTGTGAGACTCATTCCACTTTTTCCCGGTCTCCATGACTTTTTGGGACCGAGTTATAATGGTTTGGATAACCCCGCCTTTTTTGGTGCATGCCCCGCCCACCAATAGCAGTGAGCTTCATTTCCTTCGCTGACCTCTATTCACTTTTCTCCCGGTCTCATGGCTTTTCGAACCGAGTTATAAATCTGCAAGTAAACTCCGCCCAATTTTGTGCACGCCGCGTCCTCCTTTAGCATTCAAGTTCTCCTTCTCTAACCTCTGTCCACCTTTTTCCCGATCTCCAAGACTGCTCGGAATCGAATTGTCGGGACTTGTAGGAAACGCCCTGTACTTATTTTTATTTCATAATGTATTTCTAGGGAGTTCCCAGCATACATGACGTGGGCGGAGAACTCCCTAGGAAGTGCTTGGCTACACCAACTTTTTTCTGCTTTTCACCTAACCGAGTTGTGAATTGTTCCATTTATTACGTGATTGCTTGAACTCTCCCCAGTGTTCTCTGCTGCGAGAGGCCAAAGCGCACACGATTGGAGAATGGCGTCCGGCTCGGCTCCAAAACCCAAGAAGGAAGGTGACAACGCTAGGACTAAGCCTTGGAGAAAGAAGGGACTCCGGAGTGGGTGTTACATAGTGGCAAAGTTTGGATGTGTCAGATCACAATGATCATAAGCCGCTGGTAAGCGAGAGAGCGCAGGCGAGAAGATCGACCCGACGCGATTCATAGGACCGAGGTCAAGTTATCCTTTGTCCGTAGACCCTTTGACTTACCAGTGCGCATCTTTTCCCTATTTTCGAGGCTGTTTTGTTATAAAACTTGAAGTTTTGGTTGGTAGCACAACTCGTTTCGATGTGCGCCACGGCCACTGTGGGCGGAGCTACGCTTAGCTACACATCAAAACTTTGCCACTATGTAATTGGCTCACCCACTCCGGGGTCCCTTCTTTCTCCAAGGCTTAGTTCTGGGGTTGCCACCTTCCTTCTTGGGTTTTTTGGAGCCGAACCGGACGCCATTCTCCAATCGTCTGCGCTCTGGTCTCTCGCAGCAGAGAACACTGGGTAGAGTTCAAGTAGTCACGACTAAGAAAAGCAACTACGCTTTCGAAGGGAATGTTGCTTCAATAGTGACTCTAAAAACAATAGCTGAAAGCTCACCTTCAGGGGAGAGCTTGTCGTGCACTCGCAGCTTTTTCAGCCCATAGTCAGAGATTTTTGCCTGCCAGCGATCGTCTACCAGACAACATTCAGACGTGAGAAAGCCGTGGTATTGTAGGAAAGAATGATGAATGAAGGCCAATCCCTAAACAAATGTTCATAGGGTCTTCCGTGTATATATCGTTTTATTCGCACAGAAAATCGGAAAACATATGGAATCGCAAATAAACTAGACGAAAAAATTCTGATGTTGAACTCATATTGCCCAAAGCGCCTTTATACTTTCGAAAGAACTCCCTTCCAAACATATTACGTGTATAATGTAAAGCAAATTTATATGACCTCTTTTGTTTTGTTATAGTCATACATCTTACAAATGCAAGAGTAGCTCCAAAGGTTTCCGCATGTCGGAAAAAAATTGTATGATACCTTGTGTTTTGGAAGGTGGAAGCACTCACATTTGCGATATCGCGCAGCAGAGCAAACACGAATACGTTATCCATTGACACTGATCCTTTAGTGATAACGTCGTTCACACTACCTCGGGCACAGTATTTCCATATTGAAAGAAGTTGTGGTCCATCAAGGCATAGTCCAAGGAACCGGTTGATGTTATCGTGCTCCAGTTCTCGCATCTTCAACTACAACTCATTAACACATTGACGCCTTGCCAACGCTTTTTCTAGTATGTGCGGGGATCCAATTTTCTTGCCTATATTCCATGGATTACAACATAACATATACTCGATATCTCGAAGTCGGATTAGGCGTGGCTCTCGGTTTGACGTTGTGGTTGCCGCACTTGATAGAGGTGGCGCTGATAAGATACTCCCAGCATGCTTTACTGATATCCAACGAAGTATGTTAGAAACAGCCTTCAATACGGCTCCTAATAAGTGCGACTACGGTCACGTCAAACCCAGACTTCGAGATATCGACTGTAACTATAAACGACATGGGTCACGATGTGGTCAAATATGCTCCAGTTTAGCAGAAGCAAAGCGGGATTGGCAGCTCGGTTCATCCCTCGTTTCTTTCTATTCTGATGAACAGGTCAGTGAGAAAAGGTGGTGAAAGTAAATACAAACTTGACGGATAGATGTTTCACTTGACACATCCATATCGAAAATAGTTTTAGAATTCACTACAGAGTAAAGGACTTGCATTCCAACTTTCTTTACCATTTCACGTTTTTTACCGGACTTTCGCTACCATATCTTCGATTAATTTCTACGCATCGAATATCGCTGAAGTGGTTTCGTACTACGTGTGAGGTGTGGCGGCCGCGCTCGCAAAAGCGCCTTTGTCCCAGGCGGTGCAAAAACCCAAAACGTGCGATGTTGTCGAGGTATTAAACATGTCCTTAATTCGCAAAGGAGATAAATTTTGAATAAGGGGATAAAGTGCTTTCGTTACAATTCGGAACGGAAATGTCAAAGTTCAAAGAAACTTAATATACGTCGATTGCCGATTCTCCCCTCTTTAACCCTTAGACTACGACTTTTTTAGAATCGCGTTATAAATGTGTTCTGCGTTACAATTATCCCTCCTGGCAACAGGCAATCAGCTGTAGAAATTTGGCTAATGTACGTTAGGTGTGACCCGGGATTTGATCCAGGGACCATGCGCACGGTAGCCTCCCGTCTTGTCATAGCACCATTTCCGCTTAAAGTCTTCAATGACCCGAAAATTTTTACAAAAAAAAAGTTTTAAAAGTTCAACTTTATATGATCTATGAATGGTACGGAGTAAAACATGATATACACAAGGGCACGTCGCAAACAGCCCACACTACTATTGTGCGAGTTTCTTTCTTTGACATCGCGCAGTAACTACACCGACCACCTTCGCCGACGCATTTCTAACTGTAGTGGCATCTGGTCCCCAACGTTGATGATCCTCCTGAAATTTTTTGGTATCTTTCCCTTGCCGGGCTTGCGCATGTTAGCCTTCCATTCCCTCCCCTGCGCAATCATTTGTTGAGCAAGAGGAACAAGGTATTTGATCAGCTTCGTTATCTCGTAGTGGATTTCCTGATATATTATCCATGCGTTTACAACCGCCACCTGTAGCATTTTGTATTGACTGTAGTATTGACTCGCTTTAGCTTCTGACAATTATTTGTCATAGTAAGAATTGAAAAGCTTCTATATGAGCACAGCTTAGCCATCAAATGAGCCCTCCTGCCTCAATGTTCCGTGGGACTGTGGTAGTGTCTTTGACTACGAAGTGGGACACATGTGTACCACCAGCAGTCAAAGATTAACTTACGCAGGATGACTCGCTTTAGCTTCTGACCACTAATTGTCATAGTAGGAATTAGAATGCTTCTATATGTGCACAGACCAGCCATCAAATGAGCCCTCCTGCCTCAATATTCCCTGGGACTGTGGTAGTGTCTTTGACTGCGAAGTGGGACACATATGTCCCAGCAGTAGTCAAAGGGTTAACATGAATATCAAAATCAAGTTCTGCAGTACATAGGCAGCATCAGATCTTTGCAGGGCATTGTGTGCGCTCCTATCTAATTAAAGCTGCGCTACTAATGTGCACCCCATCCGCTTTAAATTGCTGATCTCATGAGAAATTGGGTCAGTGATAACTGACAGTAGAATGGCCCGAGTTGCCAACGCTGGAAGCATGTATGAGTCGAAAATATTGTTTTTATTTGATGCTAAAACAGGATATTATGGTGAACTGAGCATGGAAAAAGAGAAGATCTGTTCACTACAGAAAGACGCCCGACATCCATAGAAGCGACACGAGACTTAAATTGCAGCGAAGGGCGCACCTATAGCACTCTCCTAACCGTGGCCAACACCATCCACCTTGAAGAAGGTCTGCGATGGTCTGACTCTGAGTTTGATTGGTTGAATGCTACTATAACATGTTATCGTTGTAATTTATCTTCACTTCGGTAAAGACCATTTCTTTTCAATCGGCACAAGGGATGATGTTCATCAGCATGATATCGTCCCGTGCAGATGAATTCGCCTTAGTCGCTGCCTCGCCTTAAGGGCCAAATTCATGATTATGTTGAAATGAGGTAATGTTGAAGGTCGATGAAGGAGTAATTCGCTTAGTTGAGGGACCTCCTAGGGGGGCGGACTAAAGCGAACTTGGCACCGAAGGAGTTGACTTGGCGCGGTGGGTCAGTGCACGCCCACCGATCATCTGATCACTCGCCGCAGGTCTACAGGTGGCGAGTGATTAGATAGGTGAGGTAATGTTGAAGAGGGCACAGCGGTGACAATCGCATCAATGCTCAACTGGACGGGCAAAGAAGTGGTCCCCTTTCTCGGGTTCCGGGCCGTTTCTCATGACTTTTCCTTCTTTAGTGTTACACTCACCATCGCTAAATTGATCTGAAATGGGTTGCCTTTCCAGCGTGAATTCGTCCTTTAAATCTAACGGCGAAAATAGGTCTCATCTCTGAACAGGAAGGTCATTTAGGAAAAGAGCGGTTTTCAGAACAGTTTCCTGTGCGTAATAGAAGTATGTACATGCATAGAGCACAGAATAGAGGTCCATTTTTCACTGAGCGGCCCTCTCCCAAAAAAGGAGCGAAAAAATTTGTCCCGAAAATGCAGCTTTTGTAACCTTTATGTAATATTGAAAGCACATATCATTGAATTGCATGTCAAAAGCTCTCGTAGTGAACGTTGAAAATGATGCTAAAATTCGTCAAAATTCAAAATTCAAAATCTTGAAGTCATTGCTGTCAGACATGTGTCGAAGAACTGTGGGCATTTCATGAGGGCAGAGCGTTGACAATTTGGTGCTGATTGTGGTGGAGTAGTGTAGTGGTCTCAAATTTGCACGGGAGAGTTGAGGTTCTTGGTTTGAATCCGTTTTTGTGTTGGTGGTTTGCGTTTTGGACTGGCACTCGCTTTTTGGAGTCTAATGGCACCAGCGCCAAGAAAGATATCATACCCGCGAGCAGGGCAGCTAATATGTCTTATAAGTGTGGGATTTTTACATATACGTGGAAAACATTGCTGCGCCAGTGGAAAACCTTTATAACAGAAGTTTTGCTAAAAATCGAGATTTAACGTCACTTCAAAAAGTGAGCTACGCATAGCTCACTAGCCCATTGTGCTCCTGATATGAGAACGTGAGAACGATATGGAGATGAATTCCTAGTCGTCCTATCCTGTCATTTTTTTTAAATTATAAGATGATCACCCCCTGGATGAACAATACTATCCACTCAAACAACCGCCGAATACCGAAAAAACATATGCGCGGCCCTCGGCGTGACCTTAGATCTCGACGCTTTTTAGCCTCATAGAAGCCCTCAGCGACAATGGAATTTCTGTCTAACTAAAGTGATTTAGTGGACCCTGTGAAGCGTTTTATCGACAGGAAACTCAGTTCTAAGTACCAGTCTCCGACAGTCAGAAATAGTGGAAGTACTGTCATGGATGCACATATGTGCAACCATTCGGCGATTCCCCAGTTCTAAGTATCCAGCGAAATGTGGGTTGGGCTAAGCACAAGTATAGTCCGTAGAATATGATACTTCCCTTCGATAGTCAGGATAGCCTGAAAAGATGGATTTTCTATCGTGGAAATGACCCAATCCAGGCTTAACTCTTTACTGCCGCCTTCCTGAACCCAGAAAAAGAAACTGCTATGAAGCAACCAAGTTAAGATCTAAAACCTAATTGAGTTCTATATCCCACGGAAGAACTGGCATGTCGCTCAACCCACATTCCAGTTACGAATCCCACCAAACAATGTTATTTCGTTCACAGTGTGTAGGGTTCGACTTTAAAGTTCTAAATTTATTTTATAATAAACTCCATGTCAACAAAAACGACACTAACATAGAACTTCAAAGCTACTCATCAAATAGCTAATTTATCATGTGAATATGAGAGCAATTTTGCCGAATTCGCTGGAATCTGGAAGTTTCCAAACTTTTGACGCGCCATTTCTTATAAAAATTTGTATTTTTCATACGCGATTCTAGTTTTCGAAAAATTATGTTGTCCATCGTATTCTACACTTGATTCTGAATATAATATGTGATTTCGGGGAAATTTCATCACCAATCGGCTATGCTGGATCAAAAATAAAAAGGTTTCCAAACTTTTGACCGCTACTGTAAGCTGGTGTCCCTTCCCAGCGCTAACCCCCTCTCGTATTTCGCCAACGACTAGGAAGTTAGAGTTCAGAGGGAGTTGGACTCTGCTGTCACAACTCCCGAATCGTTTGGGCTCATCTTCTGCGGCTTGTGGATTTGTTAGCACACCGCACTCATGTCAGTCCACATCACCGATTGCTATGATGGATGGTGATTAGAAGGAACTATGGGAAACTAATAGGAACATGGTGTCAGATCGAAATCAAAGCTGATTCGGGCTCAGAGCATGTGAGAGACAAACTCCATTATTCAAACCTTAGAGACTCGGTCGAGATGTCCTAGTACTCTCACCCTGTAACACTAAACGAACCCCTGACAAATAGCGCCCACTATCGAGATTGCTATTCACGGGGTGTTTGTGGTGTGGATCATCTTCTAATGAAAGGAGGGAACCCCGAGTAGAGGTAACCACCGGTAACATAGAGGTAACAATATGTCACAACGAGCGCGTCGTATAATAATTTCAAGGCCAAGCGACAGTGAGGAAGCTAGACTCCAGCGATGCTTCGCATGTACCTTTGAGATTTTGCTCGTGAAATCACGGAATACTGTAATACTGGGCTAATCCTTCTTTTGTTTAATAATACAATTTTGACTTATTTCGTAATACAAACAAAGCAAGTCAAAACTCAATGCTAAAGCTTTCAGCCTCAGTCATTGCCGATATATGCTAACCGGCTCAACACGTTATATGTGTGAGTGCTGAAAGCCATGGTAAGTATACCATGAAAAGCTGAGTTGGAATGAAATGGTGCCCGGTAGCGTAACTGGTAGCGCACTTGCCCGGAAAGCGAGAGGTACTGCTGCTTCTGGCAAACAGCCTAATAAACTTGCCGACTACTCATAGTCCATTACTTCCAGAACTCTGAGTGTCTTGCAATGTAACAAATCGAACAGCTCGTTTGGCTCCAAAACCAAACGATTGTATATTGCGTAGCTGATACCCTTCGTGTAACAAAATCAGAGACTGAACACTGAATCGACATTAGAAATACATGAAGTATGCTCCATATAGTCGCTTAAAATTGAAAATCTCGGCGGCACACTTATACTACCGTAACTTTTGCGCACTGCACGTACCACTGAAAGCACACGCCGGTCAAACGCGAGCAAAACGTCAAAACCCGCGTTGTCGTCAGCATATTAGTTACCGCCCAATTGATCCCCGGGTACCGCCGGATCCTCGATTCCTTGTGTTTCTTTTCTTCCCCTTATCCTCCCCCCCCCCACTGCACGCGAGCTGCCACCGAAGCACCTTGCGAAAGGACAGAAGTGTACTGAGTAGGTGTTTGGTGTTATCTAGCCGCTGAAGTATTATCACAATCACGTTATAATTATGCCTCAACACCGGATCAAACCGTGATCTTGGAAGCGGTGCCGTCACTTCTTCTTTTCTCCCCTCTTGCCCATCCCCGTTCTTCCCCCTCCTGCCCTTTCTCTTTCCCCCTACCCCCCCCCCTTCTGTACTCCCCTCCACCTGCCACGTCAGCACCATGTAGAATGAGGCCGAGTTTGCTTGATCGGTGTTCATATAGCCGTATGAGTGTTATCATAATCGTGACATCAACTGAAGTGTGGCACTCCGACCCCCCCCCGGTTCTGTTAGCCTTCGATCGAGATGGACAGAACGACATACATAAAAATAAACAATACAGCAAGTTGTGGTTCATACAGGGTGCGCCAAAGTTATAGCGACAACACCTAAACATACAATTTGGACCGATGTTCAGAAGTACTGTTCTCTGTTATCCTAATTTTGGTGTTGTAGTGTAAACCTGTTTATAATTGTCCTGTGATTATCAAATCTACGATTGCTACGATTGTTGAGGGATACTGCCGCTGTTCCTAAATTATTGAACTTCAATGTACAAGGTTTTCGGCATGCAAAAATTATCAGCGTTTTGGTGCATATCCGAGTACTATCAGTAGAATATCCACCAAAAGCTGAATTGATTACAATGGTTCTGAACGAGGAGGGCGTATTACTGAGACGACTGCGAGCAATCTAAGGATGGTGCGCGATAGAATTTGCAGGTAGTTAACGCACCCACTTTGCCAAATGTTACGAGAGAAGGGAATCAAGGAGATTCCTCGAGAATTATTAGAGCCAATTGCTATCCTAGGCTGATGCTCACTTTAAAATCATTGCTGGACTTTACGAAGTACAATCTCCCATTCACAAGGCAAGGGTGGTGCTAAATCGGTGCAAAACCAATTTTTGCTAGTTCATCAGCTGAAACGGTTGCAGGTCAGCATCCCAGATGTGACTTCGATGGATTATACTGACAGGTCGCTTCTGGAGCCTGAGGCTTGCATAGAAGATCTTATTTTTGGAGATTCGTTAAAGGTCACTCAGAATAAGTAAGACGAGTCCGACGCACCACACCGTGTGCCACAGTCGATGGTTATGCAATGCCTCTCAATCCGTGTAAATATAAATCAAGGTTTTTCGGGAATTGGCGAATGTTCACGAATTAGGATGGAACTGTGAACAATGCTGCATTTTTGGTTTCTAAGGAATGTACCATGCTCATTCTAAGCAACTGAAAGTCGCTGTCGCCTTCATTTTGGCGCACCCTGTATAATGAGGTGATATTCACCAGTGTTACTGGTGCTTGAAAACAGAGAGCTAGAATATCATAATGCTGATGAAACATATTGCAAAATACCTTTCTCATTTCTAGGCAGTCTTGAGAATCCAGCTGTACTCTTGCTTCGTGCTTCATTGCAGCCACGCTCTCTTTCTGGAAGAAAATTTAGAGCGAGTTCTGTCTCACTTTTCACGAATTATTTAGGGAGCGAGTTCAAGTTCCAGCAGTGCAAAATCGTTTTGATGAGCAAAGGACTATTAGTAATAAAATTTAAGTTCCGATGTACTTTTGTTGATGTTATCTGGAACACGCGTTCCTGAATCCAAATGAGTCGAGCACTGAACGCTTTCTCCCTCTTTTGGGGAGGGTCAAATCTCTTTCTTTCATGTGACAGCAAAACTTAGAACCTGGAAGAGGTAGAAAACGTAGTTTCGCGTTTCAGCTTTACTCTCTATTGTGATTCTCGTCGACGTTGAGCTATTGCCACTCTGTAGGGATCGGCGACTATGATCATCTTTCTGAATAAGAACATGTGCGACGATAGGTGAATTTGCGCAAACAATATGACTTACCTTCTTATTCAAAGACTCGAGAGCAGTAAACGGTATACGCCACATTTGATTCAAGCGCTCGGCCTCCTTCTTTTTCATTCTTAATTCAAAACAGCTATTAGAGTAACTCAATTAATTCTGCTCTTCAATTTTGAGTGAAGGTAAGACGCTAGGGCGTCAAAGCAAATTTACTTCACCTAGCCTTTGTGGCTGCCATACCTTGGAAAGCCTACAAGCCTACATCAAGAAAAAAACTTGAATGAATTGCATCTTTAACACATTGCGTACAACGTGCGATTTGGAGAGGAAGTTCACGGTTTCATCTGATTTATCTGGCATTTTTCAATGCTCTTTAAGCGCTTGCACTCATCACTGATAAAATTATTAACAGATTAATGATGATTCATTTTTCGAAAACCCGAAAAAGGTATGGGATCCTCGTATAAGGGCGGTCCGCAATGTGCTAAATTGAGTAACCTCATTGAAAACTTATGAGACACTCTAACACAAATCTCATAAGTTTTGTAAGTCAAAATCAAGCTCACTGGATCACGTAGCAAATTCCAACAGTGATGGCAAATAAGACGAAGAGGATCAAAATGCCTGCAACGATTACCCATACAAGATAGTCCTTAAAGAAGTTGACGGGGCACTGAAACATTTCTTTAAACAGCATAATCCAATACACAAATGAAGATAGAAAACTTTAATTCGTGTGTTAGTACACGGAAATCAGTGCTTACGTTCTTACAATAGCTCATCTGTGCATGCAATCAACAAATAAATGAATAAGTAAATGAGTACCTGCTTTCCACTGAATCCACATACAGGCTGTGCCAGTGGTCTTAACCCACCCCGGCTCCACCACAATTCTGCCTCGTTGGTGTAAACAGGAATGTAGTTCTTAATTATTTTGCTAAGCACACATTTTCTCGAATGAAATTGAGTCGAACAAAGAAATGTTTATTTCTAATTCTGGATCTGAGATTTGTGACATCCAACAGATTAGCTTGACCAAAATTAGTAGGAGCGAGGCCTTGAAATAATTCATCTACTTGAGCGTGAGGTGAATTTTTTGGCTACTGTTGATCCTGCCTAAAGAACGAGTAAATGAAGTATATACCGCATAAGATCCATTAACAAAAACAGTCCCATATAACTCCTGCACTCCATCTCCGTCCAGACTATCGATGTAGAAAGACGGCATCCGAATACCAACATCGCTCATTCGAACAAGGCCAGACATACCTAAAAGACACAGCTCAAACCAAACACCTCCCGACACGGGGAATCTTTTAGGGCACGCAGGGACTTGCGAAATTTGTATTGGTGGTCGAGCCATTGTGACTTCAGTGACGCTTCTATAGCATTTAATCGAGGGTTGAGGTTGTGTTTTCGTTAGAGTAGGGGTGAATCGCGAGGATCGGTTGTATTCGTCTGTTGTCTGCGCCATGTCGGTTCTGTCCATATGCTCTGGTTGTGTAATAGAAAGCCAGTTCAAAATTGCGTAAACTTCTGAATGCTTACAGAGTTGCGAAGGACTCATATTTAGAAGCAATTCTAGGATTTTTCCTCGTATTCATCACTTCCTGAGTATAAAAGGAGCTTTTGCCGATGATCATTCCTGTCTTGGGATGCGGCACGCACTCTGCTTCAATTGGTACATTCGCAGTGGCGTTTGAATGCGATGTGGTCTATACGATGACTTGGCGGGGCCAGCCAATGTACAAGTCAGTACTCTTATCTACGAGACAAGTCTGGTACCAATTAATCCACTCCGGAGGGTTGGAAGGTTTGGTTGGAATGGACGAAGCACGACCCAGGATTCAGCCTCGGACCGCGTGTGTGGTAAGCATGCCACTTGCCACTATACCACTCACTTCCCGAGTAGTGCCTTTTAAGAACAACAAAGCCGCAGCCAGTGCAGTTTCCAATTGAAAGCTCGCCAACCTTCAAACGTCATCTCCATGTTTCTCAAAAGTTGTGTTCCATTACGGAAAGCGTCAGGGTCTTGTCGAAGTGAAGCACTAAGCCCTCGAGCATAGGAGTAAAACCCATCATGAAGTTGTCCGGCGTATGCTGCTGCCTGAAAGAGATTCTATTAGGATGTCTGAAAAGAAATGTCGCTCACACTTGTGACATAGTTTCTAAGCTAAAGCATAATGTCACACAGTGCCTGAGCACTTGTTCAGAAGGCTGTCTTCAAACGAAAAGCACAATATACTATATGTCAGGAAACGGTGGATTCTGTGGTCAAAATTTTGTTCTGTACACGTTGAGTCTAAAACCTCGACCACGGGTATGTATATGGCACGCCCTTCAAACAAGGAACAGCGGTCACCGATCCTCATCATATAGTGTACGAAATATCCAATAACAACGCTCAGTCTATGAGGCAGTTACAGCTATGGTTTCGTCGTTTCCAAGACTGAGGAAAATGTGGGGAATGTGAGAACGAGGAGCATGCGTACGGACCAGAGCTTTTCATAACAAAGTACTGAAGAATCGAGCCATTGCCAAACCATTCAAAGACTTGGATGAAGGTTTGATTGCGCCAACATCAAGGTTTGAAAGCTCTAGGTTTGACCAGTAAGGTCAAGCGGCTAAGAAAATGCGTTCGATATCTGCTTAGCGAAGCGAATAAACAGTGCACACTGCTAGCGGTGAAGCTCTGTCCCACCTCCAAGAAAAACGAAGTCTTTGTTCACGTTATCAGGTCATTTTAGAGGCGGAAGTGGTGTAGTGGCAAGTCACAAGCTTGCCACGCGAGCGGTCCGGGGATCAAATCCCGGGTCGTGAGTCGCCCGGGCCAACCAAGCCTTTCACCCCTCCGGGGTCGGTTAATTGGTACCAGACTTGTCTGGAAGGAGAAAAAACACTGAATTGTACATCGGCTGACCCCCCCCCTCAGGTCATTGTATAGGCCTAATCGCACTGAAACACCACTACGAATGTACAAATGGAGGCCAAGCTTTTTCATGCCCATAGTTCAGAGATTTTATGCCTGCCATTCGATCGTCTACAGACACATTCAGAACGTGAGAAAGCCGTGGTATTGTAGGAAAGAATGATGAATGAGGCCAATCCCTAAACAAATGTTCATAGGGTCTTCTGTATATATGCGTTTTTATTTCTTTGGCATTTATATCTATTGCACAAAAAATCGGAAACACATTTGCGATCGCAAATAAATAGAACGAAAAAATTTCTGATGTTGAACTCATTTGCCAAAGCGCCTTTATACTTTCGAAAGAACTCCCTTTTCCAAACATATTACGTGTTATGGAATGTAAAGCAATGTATTATAACCTCTTTTGTTTATGTTAATAGTAATACATTTAACAAAGCAAGAGTAGCTCAAAGGTTTCCGCATGTTACGAGAAAAAAATTGTATTGATACCTTTGTGTTTTGGAGGTTGAAGCCTCACATTTGCGTATCGCGCAGCCAGTAGCAAACAACGAATACGTTATCCATTGACACTGATTCCTTTAGCTATAACGTCGTTCACACTTACCTCGGGCCACGAGATTTCCATATTGAAAGAAGTTGTGGTCCAGTTCAGCATAGTCAAGGAATCGGTTGATGTGTATCGTCGCTCCAGTTCTCGCATCTCACTTACAATCATTAACACACATTAGACGCCTTGCCATAACGCTTTTTCTAGTATGTGCGCGGATCTTTTCTTGCCTATATTCAAATGGATTACAACATAACAATATAGCTCGATATCCTCGAAGTCGGATTAGGCGGTGGGCTCTCGGTTGACGTTGATGGTTGCCGCAATATGAATAGAAGTGGCGCTGATAAAGATACTGCCAGCAGCTTTACTGATATCAACGAATGTAGTTAGTAAACAGGCCTGCATACGGCCCTAATAAGTGCGGACTACAGGGGTCACGTCAAACCCAGGACTTCGAGATACTCGACTGTAACTATAAACGACATGGTCACGATGTGGTCAAATAGCTCCAGATTTAGCAGAAGCAAAGCGGGATATTGCAGTCTCAGTTCATCCCTTCGTTATCTTCTATTCTGATGAACAGACTCAGTGAGAAAAAGGTGGAGAGAACAGTAAAATACAAACGTTGCGGATAGATGTTTTCTCCACTTGACACAATCCATATCGAAAATATTTTAGAATTCACTACAGAGTAAAGGACTTGACATTCCAACTTTCTTTACCAATTTCACGTTTTACCGGACTTTTCGCTACCATATCTGGTCGATTATTTTTTACGCCATCGAATAATCGCTGAAGTGGTTTTCTTACTACAGTGTGAGGGCTGTGCGGCCGCGCTGCGCACAAAGCGCCTTTGTCCCAGGCCCGGTTGCAAAAACACAAAACTTGCAATCGTTGTCGAGGTATTAAATCATTGTCCTTAATTCGCAAAGGAGATAAATTTTGAAATAAGGGGATAAAGTTTCGTTACAATTCGCGGAACGGAAATTGTCAAAGTTCAAGAAACTTAACTATACGTCGATTGGCCGATTCTCCGTCTTTAACCCTTAGACTGACGACTTTTTTTAGAATCGCGTTTTAAATGTGTTGTCTTGGCGTTACAATTATCCCTCCTTGCAACCAGGCAATCAGGCCTGTTAGAAATTTGGCTAATGCTACGTTAGGTGCTGACCCGGGGGATGTGAGTCCAGGGACCAGCACGGTGCCGGTCCGTCTTTAGTCATAGCACCATTCTCCCTTAAGTTTCAATGACCGGAAAATTATTTTACAAAAAAAAAGTTTTGAACAGTTCAACTTTATATGATCTTATGAATGGCTACGGAGTAAAACATGAATAATACACGAAGGGCACGTCGCAAAACAGCCCACACTACTATTGTGCAGTTCTTTCGTTGACATCGGCGCAGTAACTAAACGACCACCTTCGACCGACATTTTCTAACTGGTAGTGGAATCTGTGGTCCCCAACGTTGTGATCCCCCATCCTGAAATTTTTTTTGTATCCTTTTTCCCTTGCGCGCTTGCGCATGTTACGCTTTATTCCCTCCCCCTTGCGCTATCATTTGTGAGCAAGGAGGAACAAGGTATGTTGATGACTTGTTAGTCTCCGATAGTTGGATCCTGATATAGTAGCCATGGCGTTTACAACGCACACTCGCTAGCATTTTGTATTGACTTGTAGTAATTGACTCGCTTTTTTAAGCTTTCGTGACAATTATTTTAGTATAGTAAGAAGTTGAACGCTATCTATATGAGCACAGCTTAGCATCAAAATGAGCCTCCTGCCTCAATGCTTCCGGTGGGACTGTTGGGTTTAGTGTCTTTGACTACAAGCTGGGACACATGTGCTACCACCAGCAGTCAAAGATTAGACTTACGCAGGGATGACTCGCTTTAGCTGCTGGACACTAATTGTCATAGTAGGTTAGGAATGCCTTCGTATATGTTGCACAGACCAGCCTCAAATGAGCCCTCCTGCCTCAATCTTCCCTCGGGACTGTGGTAGGTGGCTGTTGACTGCCGAAGGTGGGACACACTATGTCCAGCAGTAGTCAAAGGAGTAACATTGAATATCAAAATCAATTTCTGCAGTACATAGGCAGCATCAAATCTTTGCAGGGCATTTGTCGCTCCATATTCTAATTAAGCTGCGCTGCACTAATGTGCACCCCAATCCGCTTTTAAATTGCTGCTATCTTCAATAGAATTGGGCAGTGATAACTGTTAACAGCTAGAAAAGCCCGGTGCCAAACGCATAGGAAGAGTAATGAGTTCGAAATATATTGTTTTTATTTGATGGCTAAAAACAGATATTATGGTGAACTGAGCATTGGAAAAAGAGAAGTTCTGCCTTCACTACAGAAAGACGCCCGACAGTTCCATAGAAGCGACACGAGGACTTAAATTGCCCAGCCGAGGGCGCCACCTATAAGCACTCTGAACATCCTAACCGTTGGCAACACCATCCACTTGAAGAAGGTCTACGATGGTTCTGGACATCTGAGTAGTTTGATGGATTGAATGCTTACTAACATGTTATCGTGCTGTAATTTATCTTCGACTTCGCGTAAACCATTTCTTTTCATCGGCACAAGCGGATGATGTTTCATTCAGCATGTATATTCGTCCCGTGCAGATGAATTCGCCTTAGTCGCTGCCCGCGCCTTAGGCCAAATTCATGATTATGTTGAATGAGGTAATGTTGAAGGTCGATGAAGGAGTGAATTCGCTTTAGTTGAGGGACCTCGCTTAGGCGGAGCGCGACTAAGCGAAACTTTGGCACCGAAGGAGTTGGGACTTAGGCGCGGTGGCGTCAGTCACGCCACCGATGCTCTGCAATCCGTCGCGCAGTGTCTACAGGTGGGAGTTGCATTAGATAGGTGAGGTAATGTTGAAGGAGGGCACAGCGGTGACAATCCGCATCAATGCTTCAACTGGACCGGGCAAAGAAGTGCGTCCCCTTCTCGGGCGCTGCCTTTCCTCATGACTTTTCCTTCTTTAGTGTTACACTTCACCATCGCTCGAATTGATCTGAAATGGGTTATTGCCTTTTTACCAGGCGTGAATTCGTCCTTTTAAACTCTAACGGCGAAAATAGGTCTCATCCCTAACAGGGAAGGTCATTTAGGGAAAGAGCGGTTTTCAGAACAGTTTCCTGCTGCGAATAGAAGTATGTACATGCATAGAGCACAGAATAGAAGTCATTTTTCCACTGAGCGGCCCTCTCCCAAAAAAGGAGGGAAAAATTTTGTCCCGAAATGCAGCTTTTGTAACCTTTATGCATATAATATTGAAAGCAATTCATTTGAATTGCAATGTCAAAAAGCTTCTAAGGAAGCGTTGAAAATGATGCTAAAATTCCGTCAAAATTCAAATTCAAAATGCTTGAAGTCATGCTGTCAGACATGTGTCCGAAGAACGGGTGGGCAGGTTTCATGAGGCACAGCAGCGTTGACAATTTGGTTTGCTGATCTGTGTGGAGTAGTGTAGTGGTCTCAAATTTGCACGGCGGAAGTTGGAGGTTCTTGGTTTGAATCTCATTTTTGTTTTGGTGTGTTCGGTGAGTGCGTTTTGGACTGGCACTCGCGCTTTTTTGGAAGGTCTAATGCACCAGCGCCAAGTAAAG